GAATAATTATTTGACGGTTTCAAGTTATAGTTTTATTTAATATTCGTAAGACACCTTGTATGTTTTGAATTATGACGCACTGACACATTTTAAGCGACTACTTACTGCAGAAATGTACGATCAGTATTCTACACTTGTTCAAACAAAACCGTTCCAAGCCCATACACAAATGTTAATATTTTTTTCATCATATTGTAATAGTCTCACCTTGCATTTGATCAATTCATCATTGTTCTCGTCATTTAAAATCGACGTGTTGTGTGCATTTTGTCGAACTGCATCGGCGCGAACAATCAAAATGATTTCTGGTTCACATTTAATTTCCACGGCCATTTCCAAAGGCACTTTCGGTACGAACATGAAAAAAAACGAAATAACTCCCAGCAATAGCGTAACCGTGAAAAATAACGTTTTTTTCACTCGGAATCTGTCGACGATTATACCAGCCAGAGGCGCCATTACCATAGATATCATCGACATAAAAGTCATCACGACACCGTATGTGGCTATTGAGTACCCTAATTGTTTCGCTATCGTAGGTAAAAATCCAATCACAGGACCAAGACCTGTGTGAAGCGAAAACATTCAATTAACAAAAGCAATGACAGTCAAAATTTAATGTTCTTTTCGTCATAATATCATTGTTCAAGAGTAGGAGTGTAAAAATAATACAGGATTATTAATTATTAATTACATTATGAGTTACCTATGTTCCAACAACTTCAAAATATAATTTTTACGTTTGTTTCGTTTCTTAAATTTGACTTATAATTTTCGTATTAAATTAAAACCGTTCTTGCAGTTCCCACATATACTGAGTTTACAAAAGTACTCGAGTAAAACTATTAAAAATTCAAATACTGATACATTTTAAATACTTTCTAATACTATCATTATTAAAAATCAATTATTAATTTTGAAATACTTCTCTTTTAGTTTAGATATTTTTGATTTGAAGTATGATCTCGTAAAATAAAGACAAAAATGTAGAACATATTTTATAATAACATATTTTTTACTGCTACTTATAGTTACTTATAGGTAACAAAAATCAAATACGTAGTCAAAGAAAACAATTGAATATTAGAAAGTTCTGCCTAATGCATTTGAAGTGTAAAATGTATGTTGATTACCGTAAGTTATAAAAGTCGGTTCGGTTGATTTATAGGGTAAAAAAATTTGAAAGTTCTATTTATCTTTAAATATTTTTTTGCTGAGGATACAAAGATTTTTCAAAAGAAGTATTTTGATTGATTAGTATTTAAATACTTTGAGAAATTATCTTTTACATGATTGATAATTGATAATTACATATCTGTTGGCTATGGGCCTACTACCGAATAATTAGATTCCTACATTTTTTCGTGTTTTAAATGAATTTTTTTTTTTTGCATTCAATTAAAACCGTCCTTGGTCTCCGATAAACAGAGCTTTAAAAATAGTTACGTTTAAAAATGCGCATACAAATATTAAAAACATTATTAGTTCATTCGTTTGGAAAGAGTGATAAAACACATTTCGTGTAAGTATTTATGCTTATGAATAATTATTCCATTAGTACATGTAACAAACAAATATTTTGTTTGCATTGCCTGCTGGATTATAACAATTATCATTATCAAATTTATTAACTCTTTAGTTTAATTTTTTTTTTTTTATAACTCTTTAGTTTAATTTTTTTTTTTTTCAAAAATCTATTATTACCTAACAAGCAATGTACCTTTATAAATATTTTTATGAACGTATTTTTAATAAATTCACAGTGTCACCAATAAATCGATTTAGTAAAGATCTAATTTAGTTACTAGTGAGTACTATCAAACTATAATATTTCTGATTTAATTAATGTAAGTACTTACATCCTAAGTAAAGGAAAAAATTCAATTTTATTGGAATCAATTTTTTGTTTACATTTGTATTGAACATCTTTAAAATTTAATTTAAACTTAGTAGAAAAATATTATTAATCACGATAAAAATATTTTGACACCTAAATATATTTACAGCACTTTTAATACAAATTATGTGTTCATCATCGCGACTCTCTTTCGAGTTAACAATTACTTTAAATATAATAATAGTTTACGTTCAGCAAAATACGTTGGTCCCCATTTATACTTAAACATGGTATAAAAGGTAGGCAAGTAATAATATCGGTGGAAAACTAGAAATACCATTATTGAAAACAATATCAAGTGGATATACATTTGATTACATTTTTTATTCGTATAATACATTTTTTTTTATTGATTTGACTCTGAGATGAGCCTCTCAAGAATTTGTATAAGTCAGTACCTATTAATGAAAGAAAATACTGGCGTCCTTCAATTAATAAATCATAAAGTTGACGATACCACAGTGTAATAATTGCAGTTTATAGTATAAGTTTAACATTAATCCTATATTATTGACATTTCTTGGTTTTAATGATTCTAAATCCATTCTGCAATGTTTAGAAATAGCAAACTGATATTGATTTAATCTTTTGCCGTGTATTTAAGTGTATTCACAATTGCAAAACATTCAATAAGTATAGTTATTAGTTATTACTCTACGATGCATTGTTCTTTTGTTTATGAATGATCTTCAACAGTCAACAGGTATTAGGAAATTGGAACAAATACTTTCATACTTAGTTTTCTAAAGCCTAGCATTAGATATATATTTTATTTCACTATACATGTAACGTTCGTTTTCCAAACACTATAAGTTGGTAACGTTAAATTTAATCTACTTGAATACAAATTTCCTATTTTATAAATTATCAAAATATCAACTCAATCATTTTGATGAATTTTATATCACGCATATATCTGAAGAATGGTCAATTTAATGATCATTTTTAATTGAGTTGAATTAAAATGTTATAAAACATTTAAAAAAGTCAAAATGTAATATTTCTTCAAAATTGTTTAAACTTATTTAAATTAAAAGTTATAAGGAAACTTACATTTAACTTATTAACTCCAGTTAAGTTATTTTTTTTTTCAACATTAAATAAATAGCTCATAATATGGTTTAAAATAAGAAAAAGTGAAATCGTATGCAATATGCATCACCAGCAACAATTTTAATGTATTTACTATTCAATTATTTATAAATTAATGTAAATTGGATTTGATTAAAAGTAACTCGTCACCTATTTATAAAGTTTATAATTTTATATCAATAAAAACCATTGGAATTAAATATTAATTAAATCAAAATTCAATAAAAAATGTTATGCTAAAAAGTTAAAGTTAACTTATCTTTAACTTTTCATCTCGTTTATGGCTTGATCTCACTTTATGTATAACAAATACTACCTAGTAAAAACAATGTCAGTAATAAATATATTATATACTTACCATTCTTAAAATTTGGTTGTTCCTCGTATGATGGTGTGGAATATATAATAATATAAATCAATATTTATTTTACACATTAATAGTAATACATTTAAAATATTTAAATTACATAATTTTACGAAAAATAATAAAATAGAAGGGGGATGATCTGAGACATACATATAACATAATCGAATTGGATTATACAATTATCATAACAATGGGCAACACACCGGAGGTCAGCGATGAAGCTAGAATAAAAAATTATTAATTAAAAAACAGTTGTTTTCACAATATTATTTACAAAACTAATATTTATTCACCATTATTAACAATACTAGATAATATCTAGACATATTTATTAAGAAGTATAATTTTTGTATAAGCTGCAAAGTAATCAATTATTGTAAGCCATTGTTCAAATGCATTAATGAATAAATGTGTAAAATGTATGATACAAATGTAAACATTATAATGGCACTTTTCTTAAAAAAAAAAAATGTCATCACAGAATCATACAGAATTTTGCAATTTTTAGTAATTGAAAACTATATACTACCAACATACAAAAATAAATGATATAATTTATATATCGAATAATTTATTTTAGTACATACATAATATTGTAAACCATAACTCAAAAGTATTATTGTGTGAATGTAAAAAATGTATGATGAATGTAAACATTGAGTTTTTAAAAAATATGGTATTTTTCAAAAAAAAAATTATGTCAACACCCAAAAATATTTACTTCTCGTATGTATCTAAACTTAAAATTTAACTAATATTTTAGTGAATCATTTAAATTGATAAAACCGATGATCAGCACAATATTGAAAAAAAAAATATAGGTATTGCACTCTTACAATATATTCTTTTGAAGTCATCGCCACCATACAACTACACAAACATTGTGTAACTTCAACAGAAATAGCAATTACAAGAGCCAGATTATTTTTAAAAAAAAAAAGGCGTTAGTAAACAACATATATACCTATATATCTTGTCGTTGAAAACAAATTTTACACTAAACCGAGAGTCAATATCAGACATCCCAAAAACAAAATGTACCACTAATGGTTACAAATTAAATTATGTAAGCATTATGAATGTTTTTGTTTTGGAACTAACTTGTACTTAGTAACAAGAAATATATTTAACACTTAAATCTAATAAATTAAAATAAAAGGGGAGTATTGTTATGGTGTGGGACATCATTACAGTTTTTATATTTCTATTATTATAATATTAATTAAAGTATTATACACTATACATAATATATCACAGACGAGCGTGTCATCTTTCATTAATTCTGTAATATCACGGAGTCCCACCGTATATCTATAATAGGTATAACTATTTCGATTAGAAAACAAAATCTATAATAATAATCGTTCAGCCTGCCAGACATAATAGCTAATAGCTAATCTCGTTCGATCACTTGCTCCGTGTATTATAGGTGCTGCCAGGTCATCGGTACAGTAAAATAATTTATATTACATTTATTTTGTTTTAAATAAAAACTGCACTCTGTATTACTAACTGTCTTGTCTAACATCCAAATCCTCTGACATTCTCCCGCTTGGTATAAATCCATCACCGCGGGCACACAATTACGAGACACACCGTATACCAGCAGTGATAGACAACAGTTTAATCGTTACCACGTAACAATTGCATTAAAATTATATTTTATTATATTGTTATTTTTAATAATACAAACATACAAAATATACTACAGTATAAACATGCAACTGGCGCATGGAAAGTAAAAAAATGTATAAAAAATGGGCTTTGTTCAAATATTTTGGTGAACACTAAATGTGTAATTATAATAAACTATAACTTAAAATCGATTCCAACTTCTGGTTGACCTTTAGAAGAAGTTGTTTTGATATTACTATTATTCGAAAAACGATTTATCATCTGATTGACTATGATTTGTACGATACACGTGATTAGAACAAGCACACTTAATATTTTGAAGGATGCAATACTGCCGATCATTTTGAACATGTAGCCACCAACGAAGCTTCCAATGGGCGTTCCTAAAACGAAACGATTTCACGTCAATACAACAACCTAACGGTCGTACGAATTATAGGATAATACCAAGCCTGGGCAAGTGAATGATAATTTTTAATTGAGTTAAGTTAAGTCGATAGAAAATATTTAAAAAGTTTAAAATTAATAGTTATCCTTATTTTTTTTTAAATTTATAAATAGCAACATACTAATATAGTAATATGGTTTAAAATAGTAGGTAGTAAAAAGTAAATGTTTATGCAACATGCATTATCGATATTAAATTGATTATGTTTATTATTTAACTATTTTTTAAGTAACTTTGATTTGACTAAAAGTAACTCGTTATTTATTATGTTTATATCAAATAAAAATTCAGTTAAGTCAAAAATTAAATTTAAAAAAGTTAAGTTAAAAATTTCAAATTAACTCAACTTAAACTTTATAAATCGTTTAAGCCCAGGCTTGATAATATCAGTGGCGTGTAATGTAGGGTCTTGGTGTTGGGCAGGCAACCCCTTAAATATGGGTAGTGGCGTGCCTAGGAAATTTCAATAGGGGGGGGGGGGGAGAAATATGTTATAAATGTTTGAAAGTAATATCAGATATAAATGTTTATATATGTCTATGGTAATATCTAATAAGTTGAAGTCATCAAAAAAAAGTCAATGGGGGGATATAACCCCTAACCTCCCCCCCCCCCTTGGGCACACCACTGAATATGGGTGGGTTGGTACAGATAGATAAAATATAGGACATTCTATGTTTCGGTTTAACAATATTACGGTCAATAGGCCACCTAAAATTATTTGAGCAACACCAATTTTTGTATGACACATGCCACTGGATAATATAACAGATAAAATATTGATATGGCCCGCAGAATATTTTTTAGGACAGACCTATTCCCGTCAAAGCTGTTCCGACGACTCCTTGAACCGTTCCTTCGGCACCGGAAGGAGACAAAAGATCAGCATACGAAATGGCTCCAGAGTAGAACAACGCAAACGCTACGCCACTGAGTATCTCGACCGGTAAAACGTAAACAGGATTTTCGATGATTGAAAACAGGAAAAATATCAACGCGTACACAAAAAACATTACAGAAAACACGTTCATGTGACCTACGCGTTTCAGTATATAACCTGAAAAGGAGAGCATTTATTAGTTCCAAAACAGTTATATGCAATCAACAAAGGTGGTCTTACCTGATAAAAAGAATGAAGGCACTTCACCGCCGAAACATTGGATTAGTATAGCTAGTCCTTGAAGTGTCTTTATCCAAGATTTTGTTTCAGGGTGATACAACATCGACAAATCTTCCAGGTACCTATTTCATAGTATGTATAACACTGATATTCGTTATTATTAAAGCTGTTAATAGTGGTAATGAACATTCCAACATATTAATAAAATATTAAAAGTTAAATAACTATTGATTGGGTACACGACTTTCGCACCTCTAGAACAATGCTTCCTCAATTTAAAATTTATAGTTTTGAGATAAAAACGATTTGAAGTTTCAATCCAAGATATTTCAAAGAGTTATTTTCCTATATGTGTTTGGAAAGGAAAATTTAAATGCTTGCAACATACTTTATAATATGACTTTTTAAAATATTACGAAATACTCTCATAAACCCAAAAAGTTAGACTTATGACTTTTTTGCAATTTTTATAAGTGTATGTAAGACTGCTGTATTTTGAGATGTTACTTGAAGTTTTACTTCAGGGATTAATTGGATAAATTAAAATACGTTTAGTATCATAAAGTAAAATAATATGGTTCCCTTGCTTTGAAAATTAGCCAAAAATTATATAACTCAATACTGACACTTCATCTTTTTAGTGGCTACATGAAATTGAATGTTCTGGCCTTGCATTATATAGAGCTAATTATTATTACAATTAGGATATGTAATTTTAAGCGAAGAGATAGATCTCAATCATAGGCTGTTTTAGAACCACGAATGAGCCATACTTACAACTATACAATATTTTTATTTTGGACATCAGCTGTTCATGTTTTGATTAAAAATAATATGTTAATAATCAATATACCTATTAATTTTTTTTAATATTTTAATCTAATTAAAATGACAGTAATATTTACAAAAATGTAGTTTTACAATAATCAGGTACAAACTAGCTACAAACTACTCCTAGAATGTTTTTAAATATTGAACTCGAAATACCTGAATATGATTTTTTTTCACCGCTTTTATTACCACCTAAAATAATTTATAGTAATAAATAAAGAAATATTTGTCACTTACCAGAATAAAAAGTTCCATATGAACGAAACGAAAAATCCAAATAATACAACCCAAACGATAAAGGCTAAAATTCTAACTTCAGTTAGCAATTTTTTGACATCAGATGATACCCTCTTGGTATACGGACTTTCTTGTACAACCTGTAAACTAAAACTATTCATAATTATTAATTCACGACAAACGGTTTATCAAATCAGAATTTAATTTGAAAAATTTGCCTTAATGTTTGACACCACAAATATATCCAAAATGAAACATATCAATGCAATTACAAAACAAGGTGTATCATTTTTGAACTCTTGTTCTTTGCTATACCAGTCTACACATAAACCAGAAGCGATGGCTAACAAACTATAACCAATGGATCCCCACAACCTCTGTCCACCATATTGATGTTTGTTTTCACCTTAATACAAAACATAAATTTGCACAATATTAGATTCTGAGAGGAGCGAGCAGATATGTATTGAATGTCTTATAATAATTATGTGTTTTTTTGTGATCGTATTCGTCGTAACTCATCAAGTTTTAGATCCGAAAATTTGGTTTAATGTCTAAGACGTTGAGGAAGGTTTTCGATAAAAATTTTATTTAACTGGTCCTTGGTACTTTTTTAATAATTGCGAAAAACTGCGTGAGTATGTACATTGGTACCCGAGTATGAAGTGAAACTTCCTTCGTTGTTTTAATGGTATCTAGATTTTCTGAAAATGAATAATCTCGCAGCAAGGACTTGAATGAACTGTTAGGATATTAGGTTCAAGATCGTGATACAAAAAACAATTTAATTGTTTGATTCTTTTTATTGATTCTATTTATTTTGTTTACCTACTCTCATTTCATTATAGATCAATTTAAGATATATTTTTTTGAATTTTTCGAGTTAAAATAAAATTATCATTTGAACTGTTTGATGTTGTGCCAGTACCTACCAAAGTGCTTTAAAATAAAAGAATATAACATATTATTATAGAATGCAATCTTTTCGATATTAATTATTATTTTTATATGCCTACTCGGTTATTACATAATTATTATTTTTATATTTATAATAATTAACTTACGGCAAGCTATTGGCCATCGGGTGGTTATTTTTAGTAGGTTTTTTAACTGCAGGGGAGGGTATGATTGGTTTGGAACAACTATATGTGTGGCATGGACTTGCCAATAAGAACCCGGGAGGTCACTCATCCTTGAATTAATATTGTGACACCAGCTGGTGATGGAACACAGAGCACATATTTTGTGACTTGAGACACCACTCCACACCAAGCCATTAATATTATAAACGGAACTAACTTTTAGTATACATTAAAATTACTCTCCGTCTCACTATTCCACACCAAATATTAAACATTTTAATAGATACAAATAATGATAAAAATCGAACTTATATGATTTGCATTTTATTTATTTTTCGTTGTCATTTAAGTTTCGTGTCTTCAGCATAATATATATTGCGTTACGAATTGTTAGGCGTTGTACCCCAACTTCTTATAAAGATGTCTTACTTCAAAAAAGGAACGGTAATTAGTTAAGAAAAAACAGTTTTTAACCAATTGTTTTTGTTTTTTTTTTTTATCGTAATTTATAAAATATACCTTAAATGTTTAGACATTTTAAACAAATATTAATTATATTATATTTTTCAGATACGATATAATAATAATTTTAAGCTTTTTTTACTATCTATTTTTGAACTTATCTTCTATAAAAACACCTGTATTTACTGTAAAAATTGAAGTACAGTAGTATAGTATGATAAATTATAAAATATTATTGGTAGATAATTGTATCCAACTTCCTAATCACTTTGTTATTGTGTCGGCCGTCATTCGTAAGGCCAAGGATGTTGCACGTCGGACACAATATTAATACTTATTTTATTTTTAAGTTGAAATATAAAAAATATTTTGAAATTTACCGATACCGCTCGTCAGTTTCTACAAAAAAATATAACACTGTATTTAAATCCTTCAAGGACATTTGTCACACAGCACGATGTACTTCATTAGAAAATAGTTCATTAGTAGGCAGATACCTACCACAATATAACGATTTAAGACATTTTCCATATTTTGTTCTATATGTATAATAATATGGAAAAGTATAACCGTGTATTTTGTTTTAATATTTTTACAAGTTTTGTACTTTGGTGAGGTATTTTTTACCTAGGCATACAACATGGATATCGTAACACAGAACTCGTATGTAGGTACTATATTATGTACAATGTACATGACTTAATTAGTAAGTAAGGTACCTACTAATTATTATAATAATAAGTTGACATGTTGTTTCAAACATAATGTCGAGATGAATACACGCCTTAATTATCCGTAAAAACAAATGCGTTTACCTAATAGATCCATACAAATTGTATCCTCCAAAACATTCTTGATCGTTGCCGTCGTCGCGAATAATGTGACTGTAGTCCAAAATAACCAAAACAACGGCGACCTAATCGCATCCGAGTCGTCTATTTCTTCATTGGTATTCGTGTTAGGTATTAATAACATTATTAACACCAATAGTGACGTTAAAATTGCGCTTAAAACAAATACCAACCGGCGACAATTGTATTTATCCGTAATCGATCCGAAAATCACTTTGGCTAACATCCCCGGGATCGGCATTAAAGCGAAAATGAAACCGACAATGAACGACGAATATCCACGTTGTTTAGCCATTGTCGGCAGGAATGGTATGAGTGGCGCATAACCTGAAAATTCCCAACAACAAAAAAATATCATAAAATGCGTATACGCTTTCGATGTTACCACAGTTATTTAAAAAAATATAATAGACAATATTTTTCATCTGATAATGGACATAATACGACAGCGATAATTTTCTGAAAGACACCGATAATGCAACATTGTTTTTTTATTTGTCATCGTGGTAATTAAAGAGGTAAAGCACGATTGAGCATAGTGCGATTGGGTATATACCTTTTAAGAAACACTATTTATCATAGAATATTTTATTCGACGTTGCCACATTAACGTTGTCGAATTGTTGTAATTTATTATTTTCAAGTATTATTACGCCTTTTATTAGGAAACCAAACTTAAACAAGCCAGAGCAGGTGAGCTGAGCCCAACTTCAATAATACTATCTATAATTTTATTGAAAAAATTAGAATTAAATTAAAAGCTTTAGACAATACTTAAATCACAAAAATACGAAATCTCTCTATTTTATTTCAGCCAGCTTGAAAAACAGTTAGGTACCAAACTACCAAAGTATATCAATTTAATTTATTAAATATTATAAATTTCAAATCAGTAAGTAGGAATTCTTTATTATTATTAATATGAAACTAGTAAATTGATAGATCTATGAAATTTGACTAAATTATTGACAATGAAATCATGTTATTTTGTAACTATTACCATATAATTATTTAAATAAATATTTTTTGTATAATATACATTGTTCAAAATTGAAAACGGCAATATCACTGAGTTTTTTTCATGCTCAACCGTATAGGATTTTTTTTGTATTTCTATATCCTTTGGTACTCCAACAAATTTACTCGATAATGTCGTAAAAAGAGGTTTAGTCAATTGTGTTATTGCCAATAATAGTACCAAGTTATAGGTATACTAAATAGGTACAGATACGCATGGTTACATCACAATAATAAATAATAAATTGTTGCCGTTTTTTGTGGATTCGTTTCACTTTATGGCATACGTATTGTATTTAAAGTTAAGTGGTTGCCTAACCGATGCATATTTGATTGTGCAGAGTGATTCACCAAGCATAATCATCACTCCCTAGTCTATTGTATATTGTAGGTAATGTAGAGGATAATTTTTAAGATATACAGTAGGTATTTATGTAAATTAAGAAATTAATAATTAAAAGAAAAAATCGATGTGAACATGTTCAGTAAACCGCATAAAAACACAGTTAATATAATAATTTCGATTACCTATTTATTTCTGAGCCAAAAAAAAGACAGAAAGCTTTGAAGGATATGTCAGGTTTGGACCTAATCGTTGTTGGTCCATGAGCAGTTAATAAAAAATTGTCTTATTATTGAATAAACCTTTAAAATACCCCTCACCAAATTCCAAACTAAGTTCTATCAAAATATCGTCTTACTGTCAACCACACTTCGATCACTGAATAAACAGAATGAGAGAAATTTTACGTGTGTTCTATGAGAGTTCATACAAGTTAGAAATATTTAATAATATTATGTTTTATCATATTATATTGTTAAAGTATAGACTAATTGTATACTACATTTTACACAATATACTTCAAACCATAAAAAGTTTTAAAATTAAAAAATTATTTAAAAATAAATAATTTCTTAGTTAATAAAAAGACACTGAATACTTTATTCAATCATTTTCGTATCAAGTGTAATTTGTGAACGAATCCCGAAATGGTGCCCTGGCCAAAATGCATATTATGATAATACAATTAAATAAATAATATATTTATATTTAATAATATTATTTATTACACTTTATATAAAATCACACTTTCATAAATCTCTTTATTACTCTAATAGGCATTAGTAAATAACAATACTACACTAGTGATATAATAATATATAATTAAATTGTCTGTTTATCACTATAGGTAAATAATATGTATTACATTTTATTACTAAGTAACTTCTTGTTGTTTTCTTTTTAATCCAAAGCAATATTTCTATATTACGTATTCATATTTGTATTCTATTTATTAATCGTTTGTGTTATAATACAAGTATGTTAAATAATATTTATCTGTTTAATTGGGCATTCGTGTATTTTATTCAAATTAACGAATATTACTATTATTATTGTTGTATCATATTAAATGATATGAAGATGTTTTTCATTAACTTAAGCGATTATTTATTTCAAAATTGTGTTTCGAAAATATATTACGGTTCGATTTGTAGTGTGTAGTATGTAACATACAATTGTAACTTATATTAATCGCTATTATGGTTTAAGACGAATAAAATAAAATTCACTGCATTCGTTGGTTAAAATGTGGTGCCGAGATAAATTGTGAAAACATTTGAACATTCCAATAGAAGGTTAGGTTAGGTCAGGTCATCTTTGATAATATTTACGCAAAAAATTGTCCTTACAACTGATATTTAACTAAATTATTTTCTTGTCTAATCCTATCTTCATTAACTACAGACCACAAGTACACTAATAGCTGGATAATTTTATAAAGTCGTAAACGTTCAAAATATCCTTCCTTTTAATTTGAGTCCTCGATTGTGATGAAATCGTTTGGAAATAATTTCCGCTTAATGTCTGTAACAAACACAGTCCTTTGTACCCAATTACTTTTTCAATTAATTTGTTATTACTGATGGTATTTTTCTCCCATTACTTCATAACTTGTATTTTATTTTTATTTTTGTTCACTTTTATGTCTTTTTGAGATATCATTTGCTTTTATAATTACACACTTATTTACAAGATATGGTAGTTTTATTTACCTACTTAAAAAATGTAAAAAAAATAACTAAGTTTTTATTACAACCTGTAAGCAAGATAATAATTTGTAAGCAGGTCATTCATTACCTTTAATACCAATTTATGTACATCTAATACATTATAGTGTACATAATATGTAGCAGAGAAGTACTCTATGGGGTAGGGGGCTAATGGGCCCCCCTCCATTGAATGTACTCCAAATTATAAAATTATTTTAAACTACAATTCAGCATTGAAAAAACTTGAAACATATTAAACATAATAATATTGAGCATTCTATTTACTCTATTGTCCACTAAATCACGTGTTTTACTTAAAAGAGATAAACATGATATTATTAGCATACTGTAAACAAATGTGATAATAGCTCATTGTTAGGTAGTTGAAGTTTAAAAAAGTCTACACAGACTTAACATACTTAAATACTGTCGTATGTGTGTATTAAGGAACGTGTTTGTTGGAGTAGATAAACATTATAAGAGTATAAAACTAGGTTAAATAAATAAAACAGTTATATAATACGTAACAACGCATTATCGATTTAAGTCATTTGTCAGTTAGTAATATTTGTGAGCTAAAAATAAATATTAACCTGCTCATAAATCTAGGCTAAGCCATCATAATATACGAAGTGTAACACAGTCAATTAACTTCAGACGGTTTGGCCTTACCCATTCAGATTACTTGATTTTTTTATAGTCTATATTATAATCGGGTCTCCTGAATAATAAATCGGCAGACGAAAATTCAAACATATAAAAAAAAAATTTTCAAGTTTATAAAAAAATTGTATAAATATGTTTTTTTGTGTCTGCCGATTTTTTTATAATATAATATAATTTATAATATAATTTTTTATTTTTCTATATTTTTTTATATTTTTTTATTTATTTTAATTTTTTTTAAATAATCTACAACCGTTTGGTGTTGGTGGCAGACGCGATAAAATAGTTTTATCCCCCCCCCCCCAACCGGTCTACATCCGTACCGATTTTGTTACTGTATTCAAGAGGCCCACGATGTAACCTAACCTTTGATACGTGGAAAGCTCATAGGTGGTATGTTAAGAAAATCTTAATTTATAAAAAAAATGGAATGGATCATTATTCACATAAAACATTTTTTGGTTTTTTTCATATTAATAATAATATAAATAATAGTTGTACATCGAAATTAATTTAATTGTGCATTGAATGATAGTATAATCGTAATTTTTAGTTCCTGATAAAATAAAATTCAGTAAATAATAATATATACATCGGATATAAAAAAGGTTGAAACCCGATTCTATAGGCTATGAAAAAAATCAAAGTGAACTTAAATCGGTAAAGTCAAACCATCTGTATTTCCTCAACTAATATGGATATTCTCGTATGAGAGACAAATGAAGTGATGAAAATCTGTTCTTCAGAAGTGGCTAGGTGATACGATGAACTGTGAACTGTAGAACAAATCAAAAATGATGTGCTTGTGTTATAATTGTGATGGTTTTGCTGTATTATTATGGTATGTGAAAATTAATCAGCGTACAAGATGACAATGCAATTATTTGCATAATTTTATTGTGTTAAGGTAGGGTATGGCAATCTGCTATACATCAAAGTCTATATTTGTGTTCTTCATTCTTAGAAATAGAAGACAATCAAAAACGAAGGTCAGATTTTTAATTTCAAAATAGTATGTATGGTGAGATGGTATGATAATTTGTGAATTTTGAGAATAATATAAACATAATGTTGTTGTGCATACATGAACAGATATTTCGTTAAACACACATAAGGTATGCGTTATTTTTTTTTAAATGTCCATTTTAAAACTTCTAATAATTTTAAAATGCTCATAAGTTGTTTTTAAATTAAAAATAAATAGCTTACTTGGGGTTTTGTACCTATTTCCATTTGATAAATGAATAAACTTAATTTAGACATTTTTAAAACACCTACACTTCCTTTCCATCTTAACATATAATCATTGGCATAGTAATTTTTATTTTTGTATACGTTTTAATTTTATATGGATGACGTATGTAGGTAGGTATATTAAATAATATATTTTAAAGAAATAATTTTTTGTGAAAATTATAACAAAGCAAATTATGAAATAATATTACAAATACAATTATAGACACATATTATGAAAACATGTTTAGAATAATTTGTGAAAAGTGCAATGAATTAAATAGGCTCAATAAAAGATATTTTAAAACCTTGCCCCGCGTAATGCTATATTATCTATATGACCTTCAACTTGTCTTATTGGCTGTCTTTTCAATGTAACTCAAGGGTAGTGTCGTAAAATTCAAAAGTTCGGACTTACTTCAGATTATAAAGAAATCAGTTGCGCCAATTAATTGGATTGCCATAAGATATCTCAAGGAGTTTCGGAATATTTTGTCGATGATTTGATGTTTATAATACCGGAAAGGTGAGCATTTTGTAAATACGCTTAATATTTATCTTAAATTCATATCTACAAAAATGGTATGCTTTGTTCCTTCAATATGGTGTAAATTAAGTACACAGGTATATTCAGATGAACAAATAATTGTAAACATTTTCAAGGAAATTTTAATGGAAAATTTTATAAATCACATAAAAAATTTAGTACATTTTAAAAAAATTTTAATTTCGAATGTCCAAAAAATTGTATACATTAATATACCATTAAAATAGTACAAAAACATGTTTTACAGGAAAAACTCTCAGGATCTGATCTGACTTCATTAATTTTTTTTTATAAATTATTATATTATTATTATCACTATTAATTTTTTATATATTTTTTAGAAGAGAACATTTTGTTGGTCAGATCAAAGCCCGATTTTCAAAATTATGTTTATAGGAGCTAAAATGTGAATTTTAATAATACACAATATTTGTTCAATTAAAAAAAAAACAATTCTGTGCCATATTTTCACTTCTATAGTTATAATTTTGGAAGTAGATTTTTTCTACGTTTTCGTACAGCATAAAATTATTATATAAGACAGACACGAACATCAAAAGATTAAGGAGGTGTATAGAATTTCTATATAATAAATTCTAGTAAAAAACATTAAACCGTGGGACGATTTTAATTGTTTTCTTTTTATCAACAAATTATGGCACAGGATTGTTTTTTTTTAACTGCACTTATCAGAAAAAAAATATCTTTTAATATCAGTGTTTACAATGGAATCACGTAAGGGAGGTATTTATTCATGATAAATGGTTTGCAAGACATGAGTTAGAGGAGCCGCCTCTATGACTATAACTTTAAATCAAAAATAGATAACTTTAAGCACTATAATATATCATTGTATATTTTCAATAAATTTATAGGTTTTATATCACATCAAATATCACCAGTTACATACCTATATATACATGAGCAAAAACAACGAGACTTTAGAAAATATTAAGTAACCATAAAAATTAATAGACACCCTTTATAAAACTTTTCATAAAAATTCTTACCACCAATTCCCACAAAATAATGAATTTTCATCAGCAGAAGATTCTTGTTCATCTGGAAAAAAATCATTTGTTGTTTGTTTAGTGTATATTTTTGATCGATGTGAGTACCTATATAATATATATTATACAACGGTTGGTGTTATAATAACGAATAACCTACATTAAACAGTTATAATATAGTTTAGATAAAATGGCATATTATAAACTGATTGACTTCGTAGAGATATATGTTTGTGGTGGGTTATTGTACCTACACACATAATATTATTTTACTGACAACATGCGATATGATATGCCAAACGGTAATAGCCCGTAGATAATCATAAAAATATAATCAGTATTTTCTGAAAAAAAATAGTTTAAAATGATAACCAGGGCTGTGAATTTAATGGTTTTAAGTAATGCAGATTTGCAATTTTTTTGTCCAATAATCACGATAATTAGTCAAGTAACAGTCGGGTAGTTCAATAGCCATAACAAGTTAAGTTATTCAACATTATTATAGATAGAAAAACTTGCTTCCGCATCACAACGCATACCCACTTAATAATATTATGTTTAAGCATAATATTATGATAAACACATTGATAAATATAGTTTTGCCTATGTGTCTGTTGCGTATTTTATTTTTGTGATATGTAACACGTCTTGTTTCTTAAAAATAAAGTATGGCACGTGCCACGTGCCTATGAATTATGATACTGTTTTTAGTGGTTGGTTTTAAATAAATCATACAATTTGTTTTCTATTTATTCTACTTAAAATGTATAATTGCTCTTTTTCACAAAAAAAAAAAAGTTCCTATTATAGAAAACTTATAATATTTATTTATAATTATTATTTGTATACCCATAACGATAATGTTATCGAAAAACGCTTGAAATACATATCTCTTATACTTGAATTTTTCAGCACGTAACTCTCGCAGGTACCTATATGGTTGTATATACCTATCTAATATTTTACAATAAAAATATGATTACTGTCGGTATTTGAATACGTCGTGTACAATTGCGAAATTCCGCATTCTTTTAAACTGTTAGACTTTGCTTTTCAAAAAAAAAATTTCAACTCAAGTTTTGTGTTCCCGGGTGGAACTTGTATCAGCCCATAAATTGTAACCACCCCTTTTAGGCCAGACTTGCACCTTATTCCTGGATTATTAGCCTTGTTTGCAAAACTCGTTTTCAGCCAGTAGACTACTTAAGTCACCAAAGCAAAAATTAAAAATATATGCACATTTAAATATTTAATTGAGATAACTGAATCAGTGTTCTTGTCTGCGCCTTGCAATATTGCGTATTGTACAACATTGCGAATTCGTGTTGTTACATATTTTAATATTAGAGTCAATGACCTGTTATCAATTTTCAATGTAAGAATATTAATTAAAGCATTACCTTTTAGAAATTTAAGGATATTAACATTTTAAAGCGTTTTCTGAGCATTTAAAACTCCAGCATTTTAAATATTTATAATAATTTAATAAAGATATCAAATGTAGGTATAAATATTTACACAGGACGATTCACTAGGATTTACCAATCGCGATTTTTCCTAAAATTATAAAAATATCATAAATCTGTTTTTTCTTTTATTGTACTCGCATAGACAAGGACTAGGTACTTTTATTTTTAAATTTAATTACATTTTTTGTGAAAGAGTTATTTTTATTTTTGAAACAACTGAAGGTATCCATTTTGTAGAGTTTATTTTTTCTGAAAATGTTGACCTTTCAACATTTTATTTTCATTAATTTCATGATTTTTTTAGTTTATGGGTAAAACGGCAGAAAGCCGAGTTCTCGAGAGTCCCCATCTATGGCTAATGGGTAAATCCTCACGAGACACTCTGTACATCGATATTATGTGTACCTATGACAATTCTCAACATTTCAAGTAATTTAGTTATTTGAATACATTTGTTAATAAATCAATAGTGTGCAGTAATAAATATTATATACGTACCAATAATAATATTTTTAAATTCTGAGAGCAGCAAATAAAATATTATGCATTGATTTTACAACGATTTTCTATTTTTTTCCGATCTGTCATACACTTTTCGGGTGCCTAGTAAAAATGATTCGACCTACATCAGCATCTTTTCATATAGGAAAGTGAATCTCGTTGTAATCGTAATGCATTCGAAAGATGAAAATTCCAAGTAGATTTCGAACCTTAAATAAAAATAAAAGCTTACCGGAAAGTTACACTTTTATAGCCTTGAAAAATTTTAAATATTTTTTTAATTATTAAATTATTGATTTTTATACTAGGATGCTAAGCTGTACGCTCTTCCACTTTTTATATATTAAGCTTATTTGAATTAACTAATAACAACAAAAAGTAACAGAATAATTATTTTTATAAGTTAATAAGCCTATTTGTTTTTTTTTTGCTTATCTCATATAGTATTTTAATATGTATATAATATTTACTGTGATAACTACCGCATAAGAGATAAAAAATGAGATGACCTAATATTTTAATCACACATTGTACAAGAATGAATAGGCCATGTTAATGAAGAGGGAAAGGCGGTCTCTCACTTCCGCAAGTTGTTGTTTATTGTTTTATGCACTTCATATGTTTATGTGTAATGTAATCTCAAACGATTGTTCAATTAATAGTTAATACCCATGACGTGATAAGGCTGCACAGTAGCCTATCTATTTTTATATTATTATCTATGATTTTAATAGATATCTACCTACAACCTACATAATCATATCACAATTCGGTAACACATTTTATTAACCCTGCATTGGCGTGCACATCTTTTTTGAAAATGTTGGGTGGATATGAATTTTTGACTATTTTCAGACCACGTTGTACATCGAAGGTTTGTCATTTTTTTGTTTTACCTCAGTTATGTTGTATTCTCAAATAAAAAATAACAAAAACAATACTTAAATGTTATTTACTTACCATTATTCACTATTTTGATTTTGTAATCTGTATGTTCTAATTATTAGATTATGTAGTGCATTGTTACTTCTTATGGCCATATTATGGACGCTGCGAATCGATTTTTTAGATTTTTTAGATTTTTTTTGATTTTATTATTTTTGATCCAACTCAATTACGTATAACCGCAGATATAGGTACTTGATATTTTTAATGAATGAACATTTTTAATAAACTTTATACTAGTATTATCTGAATACAATTTAATTGTTGACTCTTTTTGAGTATTCATAGATTTTTAAAATGTCTAATTAATACAATGTTCCTTATAAGTTGTTATAACAGTTCAAACATATTTAGATACCTACAAAAGCTTTTTTTGTTTTTATAAGTATTTAAAGTTCAAATTTTGACAAAACTCTTCAAATTCTCAAATATTTGGGAATTATTTTGTAGCTGTTGTTTTAGTATTGTTTAAATGTAGAAAATGTTTAATTTTTAAAGCTAATCTAGTCTTAAATTTTAAATAAGGTTTCTCTTAAGTAGTTTATACTGTAACCAAAAAATTTTAAAATTTTAAAACACTGTATTTTATAACAGATATTTTTAGTTCAAATTTGGACGAAAGCAGATATTTCGACAGAGAAAAACGATTTTAGTTATATTTTTGTAACTAAAAACTATTATTATAATATAAATCGGCCTTGCTCAGAATCGTTTTTCGTATAAGATCGGTTTTGAATTCAATTTTAACACTTCCATAACAGAGACCCACACAACACCTACATTACAGCACAGTGGGACAAACTTGTCCACATTTTTTTTTTTATTATTTGTTGTGTCACTGGCGGATAATTAAATACCCATCGACAATTTTGGTTTTTGTAGAACCATTAATGTTACGTGTAAGTGCATGACGTATAATATGTTAGTCGTTATTATTTTATTTTTATAAGATGCAGCAGGGTACTTACCTATTTAAAATTTTTTTTAATTTTTTAACACTATAAAATGTAATGTCACGCAAGTGAATTTATACATTAAAGGAGTTAAATTAGCATAATACCTACCCTTTTTCGTTTTAAAGAAAACGCACATTTATAATCTGTGTATAATTAATAGCTTAGTTTCAGTATACTACTCATAAAATGCAATTAAAATTGTGTTCGCGACCCATTTTTTGGTTGTGATTGGCCCACAGTTTGGGAACATTTGCATTAAAGTGTGATGGAGTTTCACAAGAATTCGTTGTGAACTTTTTCCAAAAGTTCAATATAGTGTGATAATTTCCAAATTACCAACCTACTTACACAGGTCGTTAAAAAAAGAAAAATCATTTCAAAATGTATCCCGTATCACTTTAATCAACTTGAAACACACAGTATACTCACGAAAAAGTGTTTAGGCACAATACGGGTAAATATTTTGTCAACTTGTGGTTTTGATACATCTGTAGGCATACATTTCACAGGCACATGAGGCCGAGATACTGTGCCAAGCCTTGTGTAAAATCTACACATCAGTATTGATAGTAGTTGATACAGAAACTAGTCATGTACCTACCTCGATATAAACTATATACATTTCAACATTTATATAATATTTTTTACAATTTTTTGTCTTCGTAATTTTTAAGATAATTTGGGTTGTTTCCTTTCTTAAATGTCAACATTTAAATATTTAATCAATATTCCCATGCAAAGGAATTATTTCAGCAAATCAAATTTTTAACGCATAGTTATAAATTATTAAATTAAATATGTACATAGTCTTAACTTATGGTTTATGAGTAAGTCAGATGAGCAGAGAGCAGTTGATCAACACGTTTCGGTGTATACCCATGTGCAACTCTACTCTGCTCGCTAAAAAATTAAATAATTATAATATTCAACTAATTAAATGTGGCATTTTTATAAAATATGTCCACTATTTTTTATGAATAAAACATCATATTTTTTTATCGGCATTATTATTGGTAATTTTGAGATCCATATTCGTCGATTCTGCGTTGTCTTTTAAAGTTGTAGATTCCTTTGTCAATCCAAAATAATTGGTTAGTATGGTTATAGAGCACATTAAAAGAGACATATAGGAGAAAAATCGAAAAGACCACACTCCGCCATATGTATCGAACAAATATCCGCCCACCAGACTACCTATAGATTCACCTGTGAAACAAAAATAATTAAATACATTTCAATTATAATGAATAAAATAATATATTGATGATTATACCAAATTAATGTAGTAACAATCATGTCACAATTACAAAAATATCACATCATCTAATATACCTACACAATACGGTTAAATTAATAAAATGATAACTGAAAAATATTTCTTTATTGTCAACAATTGATGGTTATAAAATATCGCATTCAATTACAAATATTCTTTTAACGAATTAATGAATATTAATCTTAAAGTTCATTTGACGGTTAATGTTTAATGTTTGTATAGACTAACATATATGAAAAACAACTTTTAATTTCTATAGCCAGACAGCCGAATAATATATTTAGCAGGGTTTATCGCAGTTTTTTTCAAAGTCAAATATTATATGGACTATGGTTTAAATTGTGGCTAATTATTAAATCGCAATACAGAAAACAGACTTTTATATACCGATCTTCTTTTGAATTATTATGACTAATGCAGACATTAAGAAATGCTTTTTAATTTATCATATTTTTTTTATTAGAGTTATATTATATTGGAAATAATGATAATGCACAATAATAGTCAGTACTCATTAGTCATTACTCACTTTAGTCAGTATAATATACTGTCAATAGAGTACAATATACCAAGTGATTCTTTTATCATGAAATACTGGTTATTTCAAAAAATATTAAATTTTGAAGAGAAAGTTTTACATGGGTTTTAAGGTTTTAACAACATTTTTAAAAAATATATGATTTTCGATTTTTTTTTTTAAAATAATTCGTTTATTTTTATTTTAAACTTTTTTTTTGGAATAAAATATATTTCTTGCATGCCACATTGGAAAGGTTTGAAAGCCACTTGTCTGAGAGCACTGCTCCAGAGTATAGACTGACAATAGTCTGTGTGAGTGTATGGGGAGCCATTAATTAAAAACGGAAAAATCGAAATTTTCAAAAATAATACATAAATATAGTAAAAATGTGAACTGTTGATTTAAAGCTAATTACACAGTAGAGCGGCCCGTAGTCAGTACTTATCTATTCTATTTAGGGCCATAAGAGAACAAATATGTTTTTGGTGAAGTTTATGTTATCGGCTCTAATATAGATAGTATCAATTGAGACTTTAGTCTTTGGCCTTTGGGAGTATCTATTTTTAGAATCTGTATTGCCTATTGAAAATTTGCAATCGGCACACATTGACACGTGTATTATACTTATCTATCTAAAACGTAATTCACTGTTATCACGAATCACGATTCACGATTGTAGATAATAATATTATGTGTTAACATTTTTAAAATAATATCTTTTTTTTTTTAATTGATCCTGAGCCCGGCAACTGAGGCCATTAGCTATTAGTAGGTACTGTAGGTTTTTTTGTATTGATGGTTTGTAGGTTTTTGGAACGGTAGGGGGAACACGTGTGTGTTTGTTTTGGCAGAATTTCGAATGGGGCACCCGTAGGTTTCTGCCATGCCCCTGGGGTGGGGGATGGCAGCACTTGCTCTCCGGTCACCGCGAATTGTCCGGAGAAAAATGCCGCCCGGTGGGCGAGGATCGAACCGCGACCGGCTGCGTCGCAGCGGAAGAGTCAGACCACTCGGTCACCTCGTCCCCCAAAATAATATCTTAATAGGTATTACAAGTTTTTAAAATCTAATTTGAGTATGAGGCCTAAAGACTAAATCACCATTAGGTATCTTATTAAAACAATGTGAATTGTAAATTGGTAGTTGAATTTTCAGAGATGGGCAGTATCTCAATAATTTAGTTGTATTTAAAATACATTTTGAAAAACATAAAGTATTTTGATAGTACATAAAATGCAAAATAATTTAGAATATCTAAGTATTATCACAAATTATAATAAAATAGCTCTAAAAAAAGACTTTGTGGTAATCTATACAAAAATTAAACAGTATCTACCTAATTTACAAAATATAATAATAAATAATAGTTGAGACATTAGTATATTAAAGAGATTATTTTTTGTTTTATTACTTTCGTGATTTTTTTATACATTATTATATTTTCATCGATTTGTTACTAGTTTAATATCCATTTTAATTTGTGACGTACATGCAAAAACTGACATAAAATATCAAAATTTGAAATTAATATCTTTACAAAAAGTAACAGCTTTTGTTTCCATTTTTGGTAAATACAAATAAATAATCAAATTTAAGTGTAAGTATAACTATTAATTATGGCTATAGCTTAAGCCCGTTATTGTGAGCCAAATGCCCGTAATGCCTATACAGGGAGCAGTCTGACCTCTGACTATCGTTGCTACTTTATAATATACACTATTGTCACACGCATACAACTTAATATTATTGTTCAATAATAATAACAGTCTACGAACATCTTAAAAATAATTCTGAAAACATGATTTTTAATTTATAAAGCTCAATCTGTGTGACATAATGTTGGTGAGTTCACAGTTTTTATATACCTACCACACTGAGAGAATGTCAGAGCGTAATTTGTTTTATCTCTCCGATCCACGCGCAACGGCATGAGCATAGGCGGAGATCGGGGGAGGGGGGCTTACGGGGACTTAGCCCCCCCCAAATAAATAATTTGAAGTTAAAGCCCCCCTAAATATTTAAGAAACAAAATATACTTTTATACAGATTACAGAATGTTTTAGGGATAATTTATCATTATTAATATTAAATAAATACCTAAACTGTAAAAAATAAGAATTTTACATCAAATTTATATGTAAATTTGTTTTTGTTTGGATCCAAAAACTATATTTAATAATTAATAAGGAGTAGTATTTCTTACTGTTGTTATTTCACGAGAAACGATAATAACTAGGCTAATGCCTGATATCATAGTGAGCTATTCTGGCTATTATATACATTGAAAAAGATAAAACTAAATCGTTACTAAATGACACTATTTTAAATATATTTGAAAAAAAGTGTAATAGGTTAATACAATTAAGTTAAAAATGGCAATTGTATTTTATTCATTTTTCATTTTTTTGTGAGTATTCTTATTAGTAGGGATAATAATGAGAATTTTTAATTATTTTAATCAGTTATTAAATATAAAAAAAGTTATGGGGGCGTGGGGGCAAAACCCCCACGGGTTTGTTTTTCTACCAACTATTTGAGCCCCCCTCAATATTTCAAAGGATCTCCGGCTATGGGCATGAGGAAAAAACCCAACAAAATAAACGTTAGTGCCATGACGACTGTACAATTTTATATTTTTAAAATATTTTGCTGATTTTAATTCGAAAAAGTATAATGCAATAATCGTACATAATATAGGCAACAGGTGATAATCACAAATAAAAATAAAAACTAATGATATTGTACCAGACGTTACTAAGATCAATAAAATAAAAATAAAAATTTGGTTCATCCAACTTTGTGTTATTATTTTTAATATTAGAGTACATTAACATTATTACATTGGCTTTTATACAATATTTTAATTTTTACACAATTTACAAGCATTTTTGTATTGTAATAATTTACACGCTTATAACTTACATAAAAATTAAAATATCATAAAACAGCCAACGTATGGACGAGGTATATATGAGTATATGACGCAATATACATGAATGTGTTGTATCCTTCTTACAAAAGTATAACATACAAAATTGCACGTTAACAATAATCAATTTTATTCAGTTATTTTTAAAATTAAAATGAATCGCCAAATGTTAAAATTTAAAGGTAAGATTATTATCTAGACTCTAGATTCTAATTTGTATCCAAGAATTTGATTTATATTATTAATTTCATGTGATCATATTTTAAAATGTACAAACAATTAACATTATAAATGAGGTCATAACTTCCTTATTAATAAAAACATCGTCAAAAGCCTCCAAGATGCCCCGAATAATAATCTTATTTCTAAATTTTATAATTATTTTAATTCACTATAATTTTATAGTTCACAGAGTAAAATGTATTCTGAACTTAAAATGTGTCATGAACTCTGTTTGTAAGACGGATGCAACATAAGTGGCGTCCTCCGAGGCTCTAAAACGTGATTTAGAGGCCCTTGACTAGGGTCCATTAAATTGTATTGAATCATTAAATTTATTTTTTTTTTTCATGCGACCCAGCATTACAGATCATTATAAAAATATATTATAATAATATATAGTAACTTACCGATACAATCGAAAAATCCTATAAACCCAATTATGGTGTTTAGTGTGTCGGGAGGTGCCAACATTTTTGCGTAGGACATTTTCACCGAGTATCCCAACGCGTACGACACGCCATTTAATAATTCTATTGCAATGATCCAGACGGGATTCCAGATGACTGTATAGAGATACATCCTGACGGCCATAGCTGCCAGCACTAGGGCCATGCAGTTCCCATAACCCATCTTTCTGATTATCCAACCGGACCAGAAAAAAAATGGTATCTCACCGCCGAAACACTGGATGCCTTGAGCTAGACCTTGCAGCGTTTTTAACCATGCCCGTTGGCTGGGGTCATTGTTGGCAGCGACTAAATCTTCCATGTACCTTGATTAAATATGATTAATTATTCAATAAATGTAGTAAAGTTAAAACAATATGCTGAAAAAACTTGTAAACAATGTATCACACTGACGTAAACAAACGCCAAAGCAGTAGCTTTACGTTAATTAATTGGGGAATCAGTAGCTCTAATTCCAAATGTAATGCCGTTTTTTTTAAATATAATAATATTATGACTAGTAGCTTTCCTTTTTCTACGGTGTAGAAATAAAAAAATTTAAAAACACGTAAAATCTATTTTTTTGTTTTAATTCTAAAATAGCTTAAAAGCTAAATCATTTTGTGGAGCTCTTTGTTCATAATATGGAGATAAAAACAATTTTTAAGTAGGTTTGATTGAATGAAAGCAAATTATTTTTTCAAAAATACATCATGATATTGTAAAATTATATGATTTTCCCATTTTGATAACTAATGCTAATCCAACATTTAATGAAGAACACACTACTCGTCAAAATTGAATATTTTATTTGTTTTATTTTTTTGCATACTTAAATTACTAAGGTTATTGGCATTTTTAAACATATTTTACAATTTATTAAAGTTGTATACAAATTATTTTAAATATGATACATGCATGAATGGCTTAAATCGCTGTAATCGCATGTGGTATCATATAATAATATGCTTGTATGTCATATTTACTGGACCAGGTTCGTTTTTTAAATTTGTATTTGTTTTATAATATTGATTAATACATCCACCATGAAATTCTATGCACAAGTCATTTGCATTGGCCCAGGGTCTTTGTAGCGAAATTAGAGTTATAATTAAAGTCTTTGAGAGATACGCTAATTTCGTTATATAGTTCAATAGATGTCTATACAGAACATTTTTATTTTAGACTATGGTGAAAAGAAAGCAGTTAGTCGTATAATATTACATTTGAAAAAAAACCGCACTGAAATATCTGTATTATATTTCGAATTAGAGCAATTGACTTTCCAATCAATTAACATATATACTGTAGGCACATATAATGGTAAGCACAAAAATGGATATTTACAAACTGGAGTTTAATTTCAATATTATAATAGTTTTTAATAAAAACGCAATTTTCCGTATTGAAAACTCACCAGAACAGAAAGTGAGTGACGATTGTGTGGAAAAGTGTGTTGAATATTGACCACACACAAAATGAAATCATGTAATATTTAGTAAACAGCCCACACATGTTTTTCCATCGACCTTCGGATTTGTTCGTTTCGACAACCTGTGAATAACACAATTTTAGCTATAGGTAGGTGCGTAACGTATTTATTATTATTAAATCAGGAGTAACGTACTTTTATTTGTTTTACTACTCCAAAATTAAATGCTGTGATCAAAATAGTAGAATAAAAAACGGGTGAATAGTCTTTATCCTTTTTATTGAAACTGAATACATCCACGAGCCACCCAATGAATATGGAAAATCCCCCCCAACCGATTGACCCCCAACATTTTTGTTTTCCGAAATCCTCGGCAGATTTTTCTCCTAAAAATACGGCAATATTCATAATTAATTTCCACTTAAAGTGAATCATATTACCGTTATTAAGTATGTTATGTTACCCAAAGTGTCGAGACAAATAGGATTTATGATTGTAGATGCAATCGTACAACAAGCCCAAAACGTCGCCACAAGTGTGAAAAAAATCCAAAATTGATACAAGGTAAGCACGTTTCCTCTGTACGTTGTGGAGGTGGCTACGTCTATTATTTTTTGATTTGAACAGTTCGTGATATGGCAAAATGTTTTTAAATTGCATTGGCAGGTCGGTGAAAGTATTTGCGTGCCATTTATTTGGACAGATAACACTTGAAAGATGTACGAATTTGCAATCTATGACAAAGTATGCATAATATTAAAATTATTGTAATGTGACCATAAAATATATAAAATAATATGATTAATTACCTGCTCCGTCTGTTCTACGTCTTTAGGCATTAATGTCAAGTCGATCTGGTTGTATTTGTTTTGATTTTCGATATCATTAATTGTTTTCATCCACAAATCACTCAAGTCGGATTGGTTCTTTAGATTATTTATTTTATAACCTTCACCACACAACTCTGCATATTGACAATTTAACTAAAAACAACAACCGTATAAAATATATATTATAATACTTATATATTTTTTTACACAAAAAAATAAATAAATTTTCAAATCAAATCAAATAAAAAGCAATAAAATGTTTTGTATTTAAGTACTGAATGGTTTACCTACAACACTTAAGGTTCATTGAACATATTAAAAACGCTTGACAAATAAGTCCCAAAAAGTCAGGGTCTGCACGTTCATTTTTTTGATTTTTAATTTCTTAAGAATTATTAACTATATCGTTAAGTACAGGTTTAAATCAAATTGTACTTAAGGCAGTGCTAATAATGGAACATTTTCTGAACCAGAACACATTTTCTATTAAGTATACAACATTTTAGTAATTCATTTCTACAACGTTAACCCTTTTTTTAAAACTTTAGTTCTACTATTCTTATGGAACTCACCTTGTACTTATTAGAACTCTAATAATCTTAAACGACTTAATTCTATTGGTATTTAGACACTTAGTTCTTATCTACACATGTGTGTGTGAGCGTGTGTGTAAATATGTGTTTTTATGATGTAGGTACAATTTTAAGGTCTGTAGTGAATGCACTATTAAAGATAAAGGTCTAAAACACTTCACTACATTTTTTTTAACTACATATTGATTCCAAAAATACCCTAAACCACAAAATCCATTTTTAGTTTCGAAAATGTGTGTTATTAACGAGGAATTGTTAGCCCAACTTTGTTATTTTTTTTAAACGGTTATAAAATGTTAATTAATTTCTTTAATTGTTATATTACAAATGTTCTATCTACTTGATAAGCTCTTTTAAATGAGTTGTCGATCAACTTTCTAGCCTTCTAGGTCTCTATAATTTAAGATGAAAGTTAAAAAAAATAGAGTTTTCACAGCTGGACACTCCCTCTTTGTATTAAAATCATTACACACCTTGGACATGATATCGAATCCATCTCTTTGATATCTACAAAGGTGGGTAAGTTAATGAAAATAATGAACTCGAGTTAAGTTAAGTTAAGAGGACACAAGATCGATAAGTTAAAAGTTAACAGTCAACAAATAATAAACTTAACTCAATAAGTTAAAAGTTAATATAGAAAAAAAAATTAACTTAACTCAGTTTAAAAAAAGTTAAAAAATTTTTTTTTAAGTAAATCACATAAAGAGTGAATGTGTCTTTCTATAGTTTCTAATTTATAAATTATAAATCAATTTGATTTAACTTTTATCATAATGTGCACTGTATACCCTATTACTTTTTTATTATTTATTAAATTAAACTATACTCATCTCAAATTAATAATTTAACATTTAACAAATAAATTGTTTTATATCGTATAGCAATTGAATGTCATAATACGTGAAGCTGTATTTATCTTATCGATAAACAATTATTGTTATTACTTATTTGTACTGCAAACATCTAATACTATAAAATGATAATAGCTTATTGCCTTTCTAATAAATAAAATATATTAATATACACAAAATTATGTTATCAAGAAAAAGTACAGAAATGTTTGTGTTTCAATATTATAGTATTGGATTATTTTTATTTTATACTGATATAGTAATATTTAAGTATAAACAAAAAATTTCAGAATGTTTTTAACTTATTGGTTTTTTTTTTTAAATCAACTGAGAATAGCTAAGTTATTTCAACTGTAAATTAAACTAGTTAAGTTCATAAGTTAATTAGAAAACAAACTAACTAGTTAAGTTAAAAAGTTAAAAAAATTAACTTTTTAACTTAACTTTATTTTTTTAACTAGTTAATGCCCATCTTTGGATATCTAATATTAAAGTTAACTTAATCTACCTACTCGTTATTTCTGAGTTACATTTTTATTATTTTCCTATCTATCACGATCCCTTACAGTTTTCAAAATTCTCCATTCCAATTTCACCATACTTGGTTAATTGATTGAATATCAAGAAAGTGAAAATTACCAATTTAAGTACTTCTGGAATTCGTTTAGAATATTATGTTATATCAAATAAATAAATATTTCGTTGACATGTTTTGTTAATATTATAGTTTTAAAATATTTGGCGAAGTCAACTTAGTTTGGCTGAGTGGCTAAAAAAGTAAATCCGGTTATTTTAAAACGTATCTATACTCTATTATAGTGACCCAAGATAGCTTTCTCAATACCTATTTGCAAAACGAAAGTATATAATATTATGAATACAATTAAACAGCAACACCCGTATATAATTTTACTCCGCACCTGCCTCCACACGTTTGTGCGAATTCCAACTTAAATAATATGTATCGTAGTTTTTAATTGTTAGTACCTACCTAACAAATATACATTATTCTCACCTTGCACGTTATTAAATCATCACTACTATTGTGGTTCGCAACGGTGTAATGAGTTATGTTATTCGTCGTTTGCAAATTATTATTCTCGTTGAAAACGGTCATGCTAGTCGTTTTTGCGTCGCATTTTAATTCGGTTATGGCCAAGTCCAAAGGTGCTTTCGGCACGAACAAGAACAACAACGCAACCACTCCCATGCCAAGTATGACCACTAAAAATAATGTTTTTTTTATCCGGAATTTGTCGACAATGACACCGGACAATGGTACGAGGATCGTCGATACCACCGACATGAACGTCATAGAAGCACCATAAGTGGTTAATGAGTAGCCCAATTGTTTGGCAATTGTAGGCAAAAATCCAACCATAGGTCCGAAACCTATAAGAAAAAAGAAATATTTACGTACATGAATAATCATTATAGGTATACTCATTGATAGGTACTATAATACTACGCCCACCCAATTTTTATTGCAATATTTTAAATTTCTAAATAAAATATTATTGGAGCATTTATGTGCTGTAAAGATGGTACCTATTTCGATATTCTTTATCGTTTCGAATATTTCAACTGTGGAAAACATTGAGGGAATACGAACCTATAGTTCGTATTCCGTATTTATAAAGTTAATAGTTCATACAAATTTAAAAAATGTTTATTGAAAGTTATATAAGAACATCAATTGTTGTTGTTGTAATATTTTTAAAGTGCCTAATGGACGATTTATATTGTAACTATTTTTTTCAAATACTTGTAACATTAAGGCTTAATACATATCATAAATCAAACAACATCCCGGATATTATAATTCAAGCAAAGTCCTAAACATAAATTGTCTCTCTAACACAGGGGTCGGAAACCTTTTCGTAAGAAAGAGCTATTTGTTCGAAAAATTACAAAACCATGATGCCCAGGAAGCCGCAAAGGTTTGAAAAATCTTTTCTTAGTTGTTGTTTTTAGTATAGACAATATATTATAGAATATTAGAATAAATATAAAATTATTATTTCATTGAAAAATTGATGGGCATTAAAAACATAATGATACCTCTTAAATTTAGAAAATATAGAAAAACTTTATTTCATTAATTCATTATTATTATTATTGTTTGTATAAATATATAAATATTATTTAATTAAATACGATAACTCACAAAAAAATGTATCTACTTAATATTAGTGAGATTTTTGACCAGAAAATCGTTATAAGAAATTCAGAAATATTATCACAATATAATAACGCAGGTATAAGCTATTTTACGGATCTCGATGCATTGATGAATTTTCCAAAGAGCCGCAGTCTTAATAGTTCACTACCTAGTACCTACCTACCGCGAGTTAAATTAATTATTATTATATTTTATTTAAAGTATAGTATAATAATATGACACTCACATGCAAACATGAAGAAGAAGCACATTTTCAGCGGTAGCAATTGTGTATTCACTTTTATAAAAATCATGTTTTCAATTGTATTTAAATAAAAATAAGGTGAAAAAAATTGTAATATTGTTTCGTTTTTAATTTAATAATAAATATGAAATTCAACGGTCGGTTTTAAATTAAATAAACAATTATTGACTATCTTCACTCGGCCAACGTTGGAAGTCTTCTGATACACCAAAACGATTTGCAGTGCAATAATTTTTTCTCTTAGTTAATATCGTAATAATCCTGGTGGCCTTGAGAAATCGTGCATGTTGTATTGTTGTATATTAAGTACCTAGACAATGATGATAAATAAATTACTCTCATAGAGCAACACAGTACAGTCTAAAATTAATATATAATTATGAATTGTTATTTTAAATAATAGGGACACGGCAAATTTATAATACCTATAGTATAAAATATGTTTATCGGTACCGACCACCGTTATACATACTCCGACATAGATACCCACCAGTGTTATGTGTTAAATAGATTTAGCTATTTGTACAAATGTCTAGGAATGTTGTGTTTGGGTACCTGCAGGCTGAAATCCACAGCAATAGTATAGGTACTGATGATTTGAATTTGAAGAGGTGGTAAAAAAAATGGTCTATGATATACTAGATATCAGAAATAATCTAAAAAGATTGCTTGACCTAGTGTTTTGATGTTTCGAACAAATTCAATTTGATATTACATAACAGCGATGCAGGGCACAGGTCACTGCAGGATGGTCTTCTCTGTCGAATTCGTGATCTATATTAATTTCGAAACCCATAAAATGATACAAAACCCATCTGCAGAATCGGAATTCAGAAGAAATTATTCAAACATTCAAGTCAAAAATGATAAAATGTAAATAAAATTAGTAAACAATGAATTTGTTTTTTTGCCTAATAGATAATTCGATAAGACTTAACACGTGTAATCAATAGTCCATTGATATTTAATTGAATATTTTAATAATCGCATATATAAGCTAATAAGTAATACAATTTTAATATAATATAAATTATGTTCTACGATTGTATAAAGATGCCTATTATACAAGTCCAATAGTCGATAACAGTCTATATATTTAAACGAATTCTAACAGAAAGATTTCAATTCCCTCTCGGTAGGCACCTGTATACAACGTCACGGTCAACACAATAAAAAAAAAAAAAAAAACAATTTGACTCAATCACTAGTCGTACAGTACTTACCTCCACACCTATATTATATGGCTTTGTACGCGATGTGGTCCGATGTGTGGCTCACGGGATACTACCTAAAATATGACAAAAATCGAAAGTATCAATAACGACGAGTCGATGTCACTGTTCGAGCGACTATTATAGTCTCAAATTAAACAAAAATTACAATTATTCTGGTAGGCTTTCAATTTTGGATTTCGTACTTAGGTTTAATGTCGATTTCAAACGATGCCGATTGTCGATAGACGGTATAGTTTAAAATAGCGACGCGCACGTCTCCAATTCCACCCAAAAAAAGTTGTGTAGTTATTAAATTTTTTTCTTGCGATTATTTAGCAAAAAATTAGCTATAATTCGCACACGTCTCACGGCTTTAACGAATTTTCCGGTTTAGTCGTAATCCAAAGTTGAAAGTCTTGCAGCGAAACGTCTCTCCAGCAACCCCAAGTGAATGATAAATGAAATTTTTCGAAATTCATCCAACGCCGTCACGCCGATGTTTAGCTCGTAATTATTGGCATTTTTTAGGTACTTGCGCGCCTGCGCAGGTCTCGGAACTCCAACGTAGTTGCCCGTCGGCTCGCGAAAACAATTTTTATAATCCGCACGTTTTATAGTGAAATATTTGTCTTTCCTGAATTTTTCTTGACCCATTGTTATTAGCGCGTAATTTAGCATACATGGCAATTGTGAATTGTTACGTTCAAATTCTTGAAGATTACGCGTTGAATATATATAACTGCATAAGAAAATAACACATTTTTCGTTGTGGTAGGGACGGTAGGGTTAGGAGTCATGAGTGTGAATCTATGACGATAAGCCTCACTTTCTGCCCAGCCTGGCAGAAACGAGTTAAAATGTTAAAGTTAAGTTATTTTTATCTTTTTAAAATAACCTACATTTCGATTAACTTAGTTTTTGACTTGACTGATTTTTACCGATATAAACTTAATAAATAACGAGTTAATTTTAATCAAATCCTAATTACGTTAATTAATAAATAACTAATAGATTAAATGAATATAGTAAAAATGTTATTGATGGTAATTTTACTTTTTAGTATTTTAAACAATTTAAACTTTATTACTGGTTAATGTTATACAGTATAGAGACCGTTTATAATGACACTGGTTATAGTGAAATTTCTTGTATAATGATCTCAGATTGAAGGTTCCGGCCAACTCCTATATTGTGCGTACTTATTTGTATCGATTATTATGATGTCTGCATAGTGATTTTACGGATGTCATGACGGTTATAATTGGTTATATTGGAAAAATCTTCCACCTTTAATAACGGTATTAAACTTTTATTGAAGATGATATTATTATAACTAAACACATTTTAAAGAAATTGAAAAAATAATACTGCATGATTAATACAACAGCAAAGTACACACTAAGGGAACAGGTTTTTTTATACAATACAGTAGTACACATTTAATTGTAAAATAATAAAACACCTTTTTGTTTCTATACATGTATTTATAATTTCATATATAATATATTGTAGTCACGATTTAGTGACAGAAATATTATGACACATTGATTGTAACTCAATAATATTATGTTCATATAAATAATCAATTATAATATAAATATGTCATAGTTAAGTTTAATGTGATGACATTTTAATAACTATGATCAATACAAAAAGTGTGTTAAGTACAAGATAAAAATTTGTTTGTAAATACCTATATATCAATTGCATTATATTTCAAGATTTTCCAGTTGTATCTATTAATATTTATTATTGTTATTATTATTTTATTACTGTTATTTATTTGATAACAAGGATAACTTTATACAATTATTGTTTTATTCGTATAATCTTACCTCTAAAACAAGAATTGTTGTCACTTCAACAAGCCTATAGGCTTTTGGAGACAATCATTGATCCTTTGTATAATTTATACAATTTTATTTGTAAAATTTTTAAATTATTTTTATAATGTCTCTTTATTAAATGCAAAACATACATATTATACACCACCATAAGCGTACAGTATATACTATATATACTACGTCTTACATGTAGGTATTCTAGAATAACGTAAGCACTCGATATACAAGTAGAAAATAAATTATGAACACTCGATGTTAACAACCTATAAAGTACTATATTATTATACAAACATGAAAATGTCTAATGTAGATAAAATCGATGGCGGTAGGCTAATTATAAACAAAATCATTAATAATCAATCATCAACGGGGAGGAGCCACGCCCTATCTGTGTCTATGTATATTATTATTTGAACGGCGCAAGGGCACCTAACACATTTTTTTCCACTGTAGCCTATACCAACAGAATATATTGTGATTGTGAAAATGCTTATACGCGTTGACTTAGTTGCATCTAATTATTAATGGACATACTAAAAGTCTACACGGAATCTGTTTTGTTTTCGTTGGAGAAGTTCTGAGCTGGCTCAAGACAGGGGACCAGGGCTCTTTAATATGCAACCGGTGGCTCTTTGGAAAATTCCTACTAATATTAAGTAGATACGTTTTTTGGTGTGTTATCGTATTTAATTAAATAGTATTCATATATATTTGTATAAACAATAATAATAATAAAAATGAATTAATGAAATAAAGTTTTTCTATATTTTCTAAATTTAAGACGTATCATTATATTTTTAATGCCTACTAATTTTTCAATGAAATACTTATACCATCTTTATTCTAATATTCTATAATATATTGTATGTACTAACAACTACAACTAAAAAAAGGTTGTTCAAGCCTGGACATCATGGTTTCGTAATTTTTTTAAAAAAATGGCTCTTTCTTACGAAAAGGTTCTCGACCCCTGCGCTCAGAACATTATTTTCATTACCATTATATTTTAACAATTATTATATTAATTACAGTACATAAAAAATGACTAGGTATCAAAGGTGCAGTATATTATGTATTTGCATTACTACCTATTTACAATATATATAATATAATATGACATTAAAATACCTACCTTAATAATATAATTAATATTATTATAACCTATTTCGTATTAGAGTTTATAAACTGAGTCCAAAACATCTTTTTTTGTGGTAACAAAATCCCGGTTTCTAAAAAAGTTTATGCAGTTCCCCAAATAGCACATTACCCTTCTCTCTTTTACAAGTTTAGGGCTGTCCATGTTAGAAGGTGTGGTAATTCAATGTATATATTTTTTTTTACTCATAATTTATAATTCATCATCCTGTTATCTAAATAAATGTCTTCTTCTATTGTTATTTTCTTTTTTAAAATATTTGTTACGTATTTCTATGTATGTTTTTATTTTATATTTGAATGTCTTTAAGTACATTAATTAAATTATAGGTGTTTGGAGAACAATTAATTACCATTCCATTAAACAACTGGAAATCACTAATTGGTTTGTCTAGAATATAGACTTTTTTTTTTATGTATATCGCCGATATCTGTATATTGTTTTTTGAAAAATTAAATTATATTATTACTTGGACTCAAATAACTTAATATGTTAAAGTTATCCGGACTTAGTTTAACTTTAAATAATATTCACCCAATTATTTGGCACTCTATACTAGCCCCTTTAGTATATAATATATGCCATATATGGGCACATTTGATTATTATGTCTTAAGCCAAATATGTAAAAAATACAGTTTATGACCTAAACTTTAAATTAATAACCTATCCATATTACTATAGTATACGTTATAATAATTATTTATATACGCATCATAAAAGTGTAATTATATTCAATAACAAACAGAAAGTTTTGCTATAACTATTCTAAGAATTTCTAATATACAAAACTATTAGACAAAACTAAAATAAAAATTAAATAATATATTCGACATCACATACCCTTTGAAATCAAATATCACTCATCTTTGAATTAGAAGTCCAAATATTGCCGTTAGATAGATGTGTCCCTACTGCAGATAGTTGTAGAGTGAGAGTGTGTCTACTCTGTAGCCGTTTACTGTTTACACTATAATAATATGACATTAAAATATATTAATATCAACAAGTCTTCTTTACACTATTTATTTTTGCCTTAAAAGTTGTAATATCACACAATAAATTGATAAATCAAGTATTAATTTCATCTACGAAATATCTAACGAAAAAACATTTTTGGGAATGTGGAATCTTCACAACTTAGATTTTTTTTTATTTCAGTACCTAGTACAATCAGGCAATTTTTATAATGAAATGAAATTGGTTTTCAGAAAACACAATTGCAAAAATTGCATTTACCTATGACAGACATTTATGTATTATATTTGCAATATTATAACATTAAACATTTTATACTATTACTAAAAGTTACATTTAGACTTAAACCAGATCATACACCATTTTTGACCTCTTACTATTATTATATTCTATATTGGAAATAAAACAAAAGTTTCATTTTGACAACTATATACACGAAATGGATCTCAACTGTTTAGAGTTTTTTACATACTGACTGTAGAGATTTTTAATATACGTAGGGGTTATCAGGGTTTTATATAGATTTAAATTTAATAAGTTCTATTCAACAACAAAATGTTGAATATTACACAGTTTAATAAGAAGGAAAATAGCAAGTAAAAACTAAAAATATTATAAGACTTAATACTATCATATTATTAGTTTCCATACAAATTCATTTTCAGGAAAAATAAACAGACGAAGAACACGGTTGTATAATAATAGGGCTTGATGATTTCTAATTTCTATATTTATAATACAAACTCCTAAAAAACAAGTCAAGCGTTATAAAGAAAATTGCAAAAGTGTTAATATAACTATATTAACCACAGATGATTAGTCAATGATGACCAATGATCAAGCTACATCGGAAGACAGTGATTTTCTCCAGCTCCATATCTATGTGAGTTCTTTTTATTTCTAACAAAAATACGATACCCTTTACCTAAAGTAACTTTTAAATTACAAGTCTATAGAATACTAGAAATTATTTACTTGTAAAATATAGCCAACCATATTTATAAAGGTTTTCAAGCATAATGAACATTAAAAAAAAATTGTTTGATTTTGAAGAAATCACAAATGTGAAGCAAAATCATTTCTTAATATTATTGAATAAGTAATAATATAATACAAATAATTTAATGAATGATATAAATCATACTTTATATAACACAAATACTAAATTTGATATTATGCTGCATCATATTATAAATAAAAACTCTGTTTAATTTAAACTTATAGGTATTTAAAAACTGTAAAATATAGATAATTTAAATAAATTCTGTACAGTAAAAAAGTATATCATATTGAAACTGTTCTAATAACCGAACGGTTTTCAAAAATAAGTAAAAGTTTTAATAATCTATAGTCTTTTCGTTTGACTTAGTCAACAGATTGTATATTATCTGTAAGACACACATCACAGCTGAACCGTATGCAAATACTCTGAACAACCAAACTCCTCCGTAAAAGTCGTATATATGTGAAGCTAGCACACCACCTAATGATAAACCTGTAAGAAATAAAACATTTAGTAAAACAACAATAACATTTATAATTTCCGTCTGTAAAAAAAAACTTATGGTATTAGCTTTTAAAATTCAAAATTTAGCTAAAAAATAATATTTGAAACCATACTTTATTTTGTGAAAATTTGACCCTTAAAAGTTATTAGGTTTATAAAAATTAAAACGTGACCATGAATCTACCTTTAAACATTGATGTTTGAATTATGATAAATCTTGTATTAAATTGTCAAACTTTTCGATTCAGATATATTTATTAGAATAAATAAAAAAAACTTGTTAAGCCAAAAGATTTGTTGTATGATGTATAAACGTTATTTGTTTAGAAAATTTGAATACAAAATATTTAATGAAAATTCGAATTAGGTGTCTTCAGTTATTTTTTTTCTGAATTAAAATCAAAAAAATCTTTGATTGATGTACATTTAAATGAAATAGATTATATTTACCGATGCAATCGAAAAGTCCTACAAGTCCCAAGACTGTGTGGTGTGCACTTGGTGGCGAGATCCTTCTGGAGTATGATACCATCACTGCACGGCCCAATGCGTATGCCATGCCGTTTAGGATTTCGATCAACAGCACCCAGACGGGATTCTCCATGTTGGAATAAAAAAAAAATCGAACGGTAAATGCGAACAGAACCAGTGACATGCAGTGCTTATGTCCTATGCGTTTTATTATCCAACCGGAACAGAAGAAAATCGGCATTTCGCCGCCGAAACTCTGGAGGCCCTGAGAAACACCCTGTAGCGTTTTTATCCACGCTACTTGGTGACATTGGTATTCCGAAGCCACGTCTTCTAGGTACCTGCAAGTAGTGTCACAAGTAACATAATATTATATTCGTCGTACAGCCGTTGTTTTAATGTGGGTCACACATAATGCCAATTAAAGTGGGACAATAATTGTAAATTGCGCTCAATACATATCATACATAAGGTATGAATTTCTGCATGTATTGCACTCCGTATTTTTATTTTAGGATGAATGTAAGCTCATCCGATTTTCATGAGCTGTAAATTCTCCCAAACTTTCATATTATACCACTCCATAATTCAGTATTACACTTAAACTCTCCCGATCTTGTAATAACTTTGTTTATACATTATAATTTATTATTGCACCCATCATTATAATTTAATGTTTAAAATAATATGAACTAAGGTACACATTTTTAAAATTTAATGAACATTTGGATTTCTTTTTAAAATAGTAAATTACCTATATAAATTAAATTAGACAATACAAGTTATAAAAATAATAATATAAATCGATTTCAAATTAAATTAACATTCAAATTAAAATTGTATAATAATACCTATATGAACATACAGATTCAATATAATTTAAGGTTTCTCATGTTTGGTCTGTATAGTCTGTAATTGTTTGCAAAATAATATTAAAACAACTCGGGATAATTGACATATTATTTCCATCAGGTACATAAAAATAAGTCCCGGGATAGTTTACTATCAGGGCAGTTTACTAGTCTTAAAAATTGGAGGGTTTACCACTCTTCTTTTTTAGCAGAATATTATATTATGTTATTTATTTATCATTACGAACTCAAGGACCCCTTTATGCGTTACCCCCCTGCATTTTTTAACATAAAAGTAACAGTCCAATAACAATGAAAATAATAGTACATTATGTAATTATATATGAACTTATGATAGCCATTTAGCATATTATCCGAAGCCCGAAGGGCATCACCGAGAAAATTGGTTAGCTCCAAAAAATTTTTTTTTCTTTGGTTAAGATGAAAAATTAAACGTACACATTTTGTACCTATGTTTAAAACTTAATATAAAATTAGGGTCTAAAAATATTTTTTTTTTACCTACCGTTACATTTATAGTGTTAAATTATTTTTGAAATTTGCACATCACTGATATTATAGTGATAGGACGTAATATTTACATACAGATGAGCACTACAACTTATATCATTTTTTCGTTATATAATAATTAATAAACAATGATTTTTTTCACGCGTTGCCTTTTTTTTATAAATCGTATTCTGAAATTTATAATACTCGTCTATACTATGTATATTTATTTGTAAGTTAATATTTAATTCAAACTGAATAATTCAATTACATAAATATACTATGTGCAGTATGAATACATATTACTTTTTTCAAAGTATAAATCAAAAAATGCCGGTTGCAATTTCCTATAATATTTTCACTACCTTTACACCGTTAGCGCAATTTACAATCGTCCGTTTTATTCTGGTTAATAGTGTGACAATATCAGATTCGACCTACCAAAAAAGGTAACTCATCGTCATCGAGCTGTAAACGCCCAGCAATAGAATCCAAACAAAAAAACTTATAACGTGAAGTTTCGCAAACAATTTAAAAACATTTTGAAACGTGTCTTGTGACACTTTGAACTCGACGACCTACGTATCCAAACAATAATTACTATTAATGACAACATATAATAAGACCGAGTTAATGTATACCGTACTGGGATGTTGGAAGCAACAAATAAATTCAAAATCATAAACGATAATATTAAATAGGATATGGGTGTGTAGTCTTTTTGCACTTTGTCGTAGCTGAAATAGTCCACAAGCCAACCGCTAAGCATTGTAACGGATCCCCATCCAATGGACGTCCAGCATCTTTGTTTTCCAAAATCGTTTGGTTTGTCTTCTGAAGACGAACAGAAAAACATGGTAAATGTACAATAAGGTTCGACTTTGCATAGTTTTTTATTGCAAAGACTTACCTAAGATATCAAAACAAATTGGATCTTGTATAGCCCATATTCCCGATTGGCTGATCCAAAATATACACAATAATAAAAAAAACTCCCAAAATTCAGGCATAGAAATTATCATGTTTTGAGATTTTGGTGCCGCTGCCAATTCCATAATCATTGGACTGGGACAGTATATTTGACAAGGCATTTTGGTTGGATGATGACAAACTGGAGACATTATTCGACTATGATTTATATCAACGTATTGAACTCGAAAATTATAGGAACCATACTATTGATATGATCATAATTTAAAATAAATAATAATATTTCCGATGATTTTATTTGTATTTATTACCCGTTCAGTATTGGAGTTATGCAAATGAATTGATATTAGCAAATCGGTTATTTTAGTTTCCAAACTTCCGACATTACTAGAGTTTAAGTCCAGTCCATTTGTCGATGTTGAGAACATTTCAGAAAACAATATTTCATCATTATTACAGTTTAACTGAAAAAATATTGATTAAAATTAATAATATTTTTATGCTGACAACTAAAAATTGAGTTTTTTTTAAAAAAAAACCTCTAAACATTTGAAATTGCATCATGCATATTATAAATTATATAAGTAATTATTCAAAAAGTATTAATGATTTTGAAAATATTTTTTTTACATGATTTCAAGTCATTACAAAACTTTTGTTCTTATTAAACAATTATTAATTCAGTGTTAAACAATTAATTTGTTTATCATTTTTGAATACAACATACAGTTTTAATTTCATTTATGGAACCAAATATGTTTTTAAGTATTCTGATACATAAAATGGAATTATATGACTATATGAGTAATTAAAGCTTATATGAGAGGAGTTGAGTGGTACCCTATTACCCCTCAAAATGTTGGTCCAAATCCTAAATTCGATTTTATGCATCGAAATATATAGAGAAATATGCTGCTTTGAAATATAAAATTAAAACTTTGTGTTGTCATTCAAAAAAGTAAAAAATGTTAAGGATTAAAAATATTAAAAAATACATTTTTTTTTAATTACTTACTAGAAACCAAGTACAATTTTTTTTTTTCAAAAATATTTATTACTTTTTGAAATAATAAGTGTTCGATAATATAAAAAATCATCAGGTATATTATTACGTGGGCCATCTGTTTCTTAAGGATATGTCAGTACATCGAAAAATTAAACAAATATTATACTTTACAGATCCTACAAATGACAAAACCAAACATTTTTTTTTAATATTCTTTATATCTAAATACCTTGCAATTGACCAACCTCTCTCCGTTGTTTCCCATTAGTATTTTTTGATCACAGTCTGAAAGTTTATTAGTGTGGTCGAAATATATTTTTACATTCGTTATGTTTGTACCACAATCCAGCTCTATGGACGTCTCTAAAGATAGCCTGGACACAAACATAAGAAAGAACGCAGAGATACCAGTCGTAAATATGAACACCATGAAAATGTATTTCTTTACAGGGAAATTATCGACAATGGCACCAACTACAGGTTTCGCTAACATTGATATGATAAAGAGGCTCATCATTATGTATCCAACAGTAATTTTTGAATATCCCAATTGCTTGGCATACGTTGAACCGTAACTCAGGATTGTCGCTATACCTGTAAATAAATAAAAACATATAGATTCGCGTTATATCAAAAATATGATGCCCAAGTCAGGCATAATGTACGGCCTAAGATTAGTGTTGTACAAGTGTGAAATAATAAAAGGTCATGAAAAAACGATACGATTCAAAACCATTATTATTCAAAAGTTTGTAAAGTTCTGTTGTACCAACATTAGGTGTCAGTAGAAGTCATAATTGTGATGGGTGTGAATTTCATGGTATAAAAACATTGTATACTTTAATGCAAACAACGACTGTGAACGATGACAGTCGGTCAGCCTATAATATTATACAAAGTATATTTTATGATATTATTGCGATTAAAGTAATTTATTTTATTATTAGGCATTAGTACTACAGTAAGTTAAATTAATATTCATCGTGCGTATTAATTATAATAATACCTATATTTAATTTAGAAATTTCAAGTAGCCGCGAAAAATATTTTTAGTTACACCAAAAAAACTAAATCAGACAAAAACTGTTTTACTTAAAAATCCCCGTTTTTCCTTAATTTTTTGTTCGCTTTTGCCGGTGTTTTTGAAATCTACTGTTAATTTTCAAATTTAACGTCGCAAAAGTACCAACTAGATCCTTCTAATCAGACAAGATGCTGAAGTTGAAAATCAGAGCATGAAAAAGTGAAACACGCACATCATTTTAAAATCAATGCATTAATCGCTCCGCTCAGAACCCAAAATGTATAAGCGTTTTAACGATATAGAAATAAAATTAATCTTTTCGATCAATTTACCTATTGTTATGGTATTTATATTATGACATGAGACATTTTAGGATAAATTTAAAGTGTATACATATGTACTTATAATTATTATATTATTTATTATTTATATGTTTTTAGATTAAGTGTGGGTACACTCATTAGTGTGTTTTATATTATAAAGTAAGTAAAATGTAATTAAAATTAAAATTTTTTTAATATATACTGTGCTTATTATATAAGGCGTAAACGTCAATAATAAGTTATTGAAAAAAAAACAATTTTTTAACAAAAGTTATTTAATTTATCACATTTTTCCATTACATGCACATTGACAATGTGACATTGTATAATTCTAAACCATCAAAAACCGTACCTACCATATTTCATTAATTGACGGTACAACAATAATATTGTATAATCATAGTTACATTAAATATAACAACGTTGGAAAAAAAATATTAACTATAAATCATATTTTACCAGTTTCACGTGATACATTTAAGGGTGAAAAAATAACTAACAAATTGAAATAATTAAAACATCACATGTTTATCATAATAATAATTTTTGAATACTTACATCCCGAGTAAAGGAAATAATGCATTTTCATTAGTAGAAGCTTTTTATTGACACTTATCAACCACATCTTGGAGCGTTAATTCAAATTGATATCCTGTTTAATGAACACAAAAACAACCATTACATAATTTATTATATTTTAATAGATGATTTAACAATTATAAATTAATAGTTGTAAAAAACAAAAAAGGTCAGTACTATTTCATATGTGATTATATAATTAAATAGTAGGAATTAATATTATTATGATTGAATGTTGAAAATAATGTACTGTATATGAACTGTAAGTAGGTAATAAAAAGTTATTAATAACGAAAAAATGTTCACATTCGTCAGATAATGAAATTGATGTCGGGACTTGGCCATAAAATCAGCATTATATAGTGATAATATTCTATTACTATAGGTAGGTAAAAAAATATCATAATACAAATATTATAATTTTATCACTTCGTACATGATAATTATATAAATGTTCAGTAGTTACCTATGTTATTATAATAATTATTAATACAATAAACAAATAAAACAAGTATTAATGTTTTAAGTCCATGGTCAATATGTAAACCTAATTATCTATTTTTAAATTGTTCAATTTAAATTGATTATCTTAGTTTTAACATTGATTATTGCAAATGCAACTGCTCTATAAACACTAGTATATTTAAAAAAAAGTTTATTTTGCTCCCACCCCGTTAATGGGGTCATTTTCAACCAACGAATGAAAAAATCAATCAACTCTGAATGGACTTTTATCAAAAATGAATTAGGTAACCTGGGTTGTCACAATATTTTTAACTAACCAAAATTGCTTTCTTTATTTTTTTTTACACTAATTGTACATTCAATCGCATAAAAGCGGAAATCTCTAAAAAAAATTTTATAAAAATAGTAGGTAAATTAACAATAATATTAAATAGGACATTACTTTTGACTTGATGCGCAGCGAATCTTCTTAGGTATTTAGATGCTTTTCGGTGCAGTTTGACTGCGCCACGTGTCGGTATGTATTCCAAGTAAATCAAACCACATAGAATTTTTATTTTTTAACACCATAGTATCGCAGGAACATTCCTTTCTTAGATTCGAGCAATATTATTATCGCAATGAAGTTATCAAGACGTGATTACCTAATTACGAAAACAGGTACACTACAATCTACTACGGTTCGTTTTTCAATAGTATTTTGTTTGTTCTTATTTTTTGCAATTTTTAAAAGCTCTTATCGAATGAATTAATATTACATAAGCGAAGGTTAACGATAAATTTAGTTTCCTTCTCCATTTCAGAAACCATATTGTAATGTAGATTATCGAAACATTTTTACTTGTATAATTGGATGGCAATGGTGATTTAGTTTTTTATTTTTTTGAAATACTTTCCTTTTTACTCTGCATTGAGTTTGATACATTTAATATTTTAATATCTTAATATTATATTATGAAAAAAGTAGAAACTATTTTTTATATTTTTTGATAATACACCAGACAAATATTTTATAATTATCTATAAACATAATATAAATACATTGGGTACTATACAGGTAATTCATTCCTTAATAAATGAGGCAAAACCATTAAAATATGGACATTTCTTGATTTCTCAGTGTTGAGACTGTCGGTTATTAAATTTGTTTTCGTAACCCACACATGAAAATTAAATTATTAATACTAACGAAATAATAATGATTACTAGTGGGGCGGCCTCAGTCATTAACGTGTTCTGAGCTCAAGAATCGGTCGTCGTCGTCGATAGTTCCCGGATGGATGACCACGCAAGTTTTTAGTGACGAATCGTCGCCCCACATACACGTGTTCTCGACCAACCGTAACCCGCTACACAAATGCTAATGTACGTCATAGTGGCCGATGCTTAAGATTAATAAAAAAAATATATATTTAATAGCATTACAATATTTGTATAGTGTATTTTTTAAGAATTCATACTATAGTTATTAAGACTCAGTATGTTTGACACTCATAGTTTATTTTATCATATTGTGGTAATTCAAATCTGCGAAAGATATTTGTGTTTTAAATATATATGATTATGGTATAATACTACTATACTGATAATTCATAGTTTATATTAATTTGTATCAATAACTATAATTATTTATCATATTATAACGATGTAGTTATTATAATAAGAATATATTTTATACAGCGATTCTGAGCAGACCTAACTCAATTCGTCAGATAATCGTGGTTAATAAAATATGAACAGCCAAATAGACATTATTATAAGTATAAGTGTATAACCTACATTTTTTCAACTATTGTTTTTAACATACGAGTATAAATTCCAGACGTTCTTAAATTAGCAATAAATTACTGTTTTAATAATACGATAAAGCTACTTAACACGTACCTACTTACTATTTGTTAAGTTATAGGTAGATATCATGTGCATTGAAAGTTAATGTTCTAGATGAGTGATTCCCAAACTATGCACCTCTTTACCCTAAGAACACCACGAGCATTGTCCATGGGCACCACGGTTCATTTCTTAATTGCAAATATTTACAAATGTTACAAATTGAATTTTAAAAAAAATATAAATCATGATTTTTGGTTTACACTACAACTTAAACCAAATACCACAATCGTCTCAATACGCAAAACCTGACCTCCAGTTGTTAAAAATAAAACCTGACATTTCCAAGCGTTGCAAACATTAGCAGAAATTTAAATTGTATTAGTTATAATGTTACAATATTTAGGTTTGAAATAATTTTTCTCTTTAAAAATATTATTTATCATGAATTCGTATAGGTATAAAAATTAACTGTAAGTCGGATGCGTATCTAATTACTTATTCTTAGAATGTTTATTTATTGTAGTACCCATAGCTATGTTCAATAAAATTATAAAATTAGAGTATCGAATGATTAGTGTTAATTTAATATTTATGTTTCTCAGCAGGAAACTATGGCTAAATATGGTTCAAAAAAGATCACCTCTGGAAAAAAAGTTTGAGAACCGCTGTCTTAGTTCATTTCATACTGTTCATACTTTAAAATCATAGATAATTATTAAAGAACAGATAGCCATGACGTTTATCACATGAAAATAGGTAATGTTTAATATTAATCATATACATAATATGTCATTATATTATTATCAGGAAAGATACACAATATGTGAATTTAATGTGACCATATGGATCTATATAAATCTGCGGACTTATCAAAAAGATTATAACTTAGCGTAATTGAGTCAAATCATCTGTCTCACTCTCAGACATGTTGGCTTTAATGTACTACACGTACTATATCTTTAATTCCTGGTTTATTCCATTATATGTCTATGTTATTATTATTTCATAAATAATTTATGATGAATAATTTGCTGCCTAAAAGCAAAATACTCTATTTTGATACAAAAAAAAAAAATGTAACACAGTAAGTATTGACCTAACCTAAGAAGTAAGATTAATATTAATTAATAACAAGCTTGTGAACGTTTTGACTCTGATTTTAATAACTAAAAGTAGCATTTGATATGGTGTATAGGTATCAACATAAACTAGGTATCTAACATACCTATAGACAAATATAACACAAATATTCATAATCAATTATTTTTGCAACTTCCTAATAAAATATATTATACAAAGAAAATTAGCTGTATAGCAATACTATAACTATAAGTTATAACTATCCAGTGTTGGGTAAATTACTTTTGAAAAGTAATGAAAACATGTTACTACTTACAATATATGTTTATATTTTTACGTTCTCGTTACACGACATAATTTTTATCACGTTACGTTATTTTTCGTTCAAAAATTAGTTTTAATAGTGAATAAATTGAATTAATTTTTAATTTTTCTCGAATATCTTAGCCTCTATAGTTTTGTCTTACAATAATAACTTGTTTTAATAACGTGCAGGAAAACAACACGTTACTTCATAGAAATTACTTTTGAAAAGTAATTTCGTTACAATTACGTTAATTTAAATAAAATATAACGAAATTACAGCAAAAGTGATTTAGAAGAAATTAGAGCAACAGATGATATTATGTATTAATAATTTAAAATAAAATAATTATTTATCAATCAATAAATAGTCAAAAGTATTTGGTTATCGTATTGGATAATATGTGTCTACTTATGAACAAAATAATCGACCATTTATGATAAATTAAGTGTTAAAGAACTTTCAATAAAAAAAATCCCATCTTAACTGCTAAATACTGAACAAATACAAGTAGTAATAAACTATGTAATGTTATAACCATAGGTAAAGTAAGATCTACCCGATTGTAAGTATAATTGATATTGAAAATATTTAATACATACTAAGTGCTGTTAACAGTAAATTATTGTTACCCTATAAAATGAATAAAACTCACTTAACTAGTTTTCTTATCACTTACCCATTAATGGTACCTATAGATAGGTATTATACAATATTATAATCACATAGTCATCCGAACAAACTTACTCAACAATAATAATTAAAAATGTTCATGGGTTATTCTTTTTAGCAACAATTATTTTTAACATATTTTATACATCTGACCAACCTTTATTATACGCAGAACTCACTTGTAGCTTACTATGCCGACGACACACCTATCATAATATTATTATTGATATATTATTATGTTAATAGAGAACAGTGAACACTCTCAGGGACCATTGAATGTACACTAATGAATTGTTTTTTCTTATTAATTTACAGCGTTATCGGAATGATTTCACACCTGCAATATTTATCACTGTCTAGCGTCTGGCGTCTGCACTATTGGACTATCGAAACACTGTGTGTCTAACTATAATAGATATATGACAATATCATATAGTAATATTATATTATAGGTCATAGGTGCCTACCTACAATAAGAATTTGACGAATAATGTTAAAAATAATCTGCAATGTTAAGATAAGACTTTTCTTAGTTATTTTTTTTAAACAAGTGGACAAGAATAAAAAAAAATGTACATGGACAAGAACCGTGTGTAACAACATCATTAAGAGCGGCTGTAAGACACCTCGCAGTGGTGCAGGCTGTCTTGACGATAAAATACAATAATCTATATAATAATATTATTATCTATATGTTATCTAACCCTACCATCTCTCACTGCCATACAATAATGTATTGAGTAAACTAGTAAACAAAAATCGCCCTCTATATTATGTTATTCCGCTTTCCATACACTCATTGGTTGTCTAGTAATATAAAGCCTATGACTTTATTTTTGGTGCTATAAAACCGAACTGCAGTGGCGTAGTAACTAGTTTGTAAGTGGTACAAAGCACTGTTGAGTGGAAAGGGGTGATACTGGCATACTGCTATTATACTAAACTACTAAAGTCTTATTCGTTATTTTAACATATCAATTCGAATAATGGATATTTTAATAGCGTGTAACTAAATGAAACGGAACGATGGTTGATTTTACAATTAAGTATTTTATGAGTGTGTCTGTTTAGTACCTAGAAAAAATTCTATGATTTCTTATGTATTTACTGGTAGGAAGTAAAACTAGTTGGTAAAAAAGTTTGGTCAATAGTAAAAAATAGACAGTTTTTGTTCAATTATTTTTCGTATAAATCGAAATTAAAACAAAATTCATCGTAATCACGACGTCATGTAAAAATTATTTTTAGCTAAACAATTCATAACATTCTTAATTTTAATTTTTAATGTAATTCATAATCTAAAGAAATAATTTCGCAAAATTGTCATAGATTATTATCTAGTTCTATTATATTCAGTAATATTTTTTTTTATTATTCATACTAAGTACATCGATTTTAAAGTTATTTTATTTTATTTTTTTGATAATTATGTATGTTTTTAAATTTTTTGTTTCTTTGTACATGATACGCAGTTAAAATATTAAGTATAATTATAGTAACATTATTAATCAATCATTCAATATTAGTATTTTTTTTTTTTTTGGTGAGAAAGTGAACTTAAAATTAAATTTTTTAGTAGTTTTCAAGGTTAGGTTAGGTATTATTTGGAGCTACTTACGAACATTTTCAATTTTTAATTTTTTTAGTTTTTTTCTTCTATAAATGTCCATAAAGTGAGGGTGTCCACACTGGTGGGCCTCCCTCCTCGCGCCATTTCACGTTATGTTCCTTATATTTTATAAAATTTCCTTATTGTATTGTATATAAATATTAGAGAATATACTCTATTGTATCAAATAAATGAAAAAAAAAATGTCGATAAAATGTTTATGCTGGTTCAAAAAACTCGAAGACTTTTGATATATTGTTTGAGTATAAATTTAAAAATATTAAAAATACATATTTAGTATTTTGTTTTATAAACATTTAAAGTTAAAATTTTGAAAATATTTATCAAATTGATAATGCACAAATTATTTTTGATCTAAATATTTATAAAATTTTCAAATTGTATAGCTATGAGGTTCAAAAATTTAAAACAAAGTTGCACACAAGTATTTAATTCTGTATAAAAAACTCCAAAAATATATAAGCAGTTTTTTTTTATAGCTATTTTATGTTAAAATTTGGTCGAAATTACATATTATTAAATAACCAAGAATAATGATACAAGTTACTTAATACTTTGTTGTAATTATAAAATGTTATTCATGTGTACCTACTTGAAACTTTGAAAGTATATTGTTATATATTGTACACACAATGACTTTTCAAGTGTAATTAATTTAACCTACTGCATAGAAATAATGTTCGATAAATATTACTTTAATAACAATAACATCATCAAATACACTAAATTACTATGCAATATTACAGGCTGACAGACGGTCTCGCTCAGAATCGTTTTCCGTATAAAATGATTTTCTAATATTGAACACCATCCATCAGCGAGCCTCTTAAGACCTACTGTACAACAAAGCCACATCTACTTACCCGTTATTTTAAATATTTGAAATTTATACGTTTAGTTGGATTTAATAAAGAACCTAACTAATATTTTTCTGGCCGATACAAAATCAATAAAACATTGTTGCGATAGATATTTTGGTTGGCATGATATATTTTGTCTATCGAAGATTATTATTCTATACCAGTCATCATTTATACTTTCTTAGTTTTTATTATATTTCTTACCAGTCATATTTTAAACTTTTTAAGTTCTTATTAATATCTTCATATTATATTTTTACATTATAAAAAATGACATCTAAAAATCAAAACTTACCGCAGTCGTCGAGAAGCGAAGCTATGCAGACGGTTTTTGAGAATCTCCGAGCAAGCCAATTTCGCATTCCGACTTCAACGACGATTGGAGCTAGGCCGGCGCGGGCGACGAGAAGACATAAGTCGGTGCCAAACAAATCATCAGTGGGCCACCGACAGTCTGCAGGCAGTGACATCATCGTCCGTAAGCCTTTGGTAGTCACGCGACCCAGTCCCCGTTACGTGTCCGACGCCGAAGTGTTCGGCCTCAATGAGAGGCCACCCAGCCCACCCGAACGCAAAATTTTCGTAGCCAATTACGCGGGGCCGAAGTTTCGGTACTATATGTCGCTGGTCGACGAGGCAATAAATTCAAACGGAGAGGCTAAACCGAAGGCCATCGAAGATACTTGTAAGTGCAAGCCGGAGCCGGAACTCGACACAAATTCGCCGGACGTAAGGGAGCAGAACGAACTCGAAGGCAGTCCGAAACTGTGGCGATGTTCTTCGGCCCCAAACATTCACATAATTTTTGGACTGGTCGGCAACCCGGAATCGGATACCAGTTGTAGTGAAGTAGCAAATGAGGAAGTAGCCCTGGTCAGCGTTCAAACCAAACGGCGTCGCAATATATGGACCAGGACGAAGCGATTCTTCCGGCGCATATTTTACTGCGCCGTTTAGAGTAACTTATATTTTATAGCTGTATGTTTTTTCTCCACCACCAGTCAACCAGTTCCGCAAACATGCCAACAAGACCGATAACAAGTAAATCATGATTAGTAATTACTAAAAACACGTTAACATTTTAAGAGGACGCTACACCCGCATGTGCAGTCTCCGTCTTACAAATGTTGAACATAGCAAAACAATGTTTTGCACGGGAAAGAACCGAGAAAGCTACAATCATAATTAAGAAACAAAATTTTCACCACATAAAAAGGAGAACTTTGGCTGTGCAATATCGTTTTTATTTTTTCGATATCACTTATATGAAAAAAGTTATTATTGTTTCAAAATACATTTGTTTTTGTATTTTTCAAACTTGAATAACTTTTTTTGTACTTCCGATATCGAAAATATAAAAACGATATTGCACAGCCAACGTTCTCCTTTTTATGTGGTGAAAATTTCGTTTCTTAATTATGACTGTAGCTTTCTCGGTTCTTTCCCGCGCAAAATATGTTTTTGCTATGTTCTACGTTTGTAAGACGGAGATAACACATGCGGGTGTAGCGTCCTCTTAAGGCATCGTACAATACTGAGCGTTTCTTTACGCGGCAGCGCTCAAAGGGGGTTCAATATTTTATTTTAAGATCATTTCTGGGGAAATGTAAAAGTCATGTTCAAAATTGAAACAGGTTTCCAAAAAAATAAATAGTTTTTAATTTTTTTTTTTTTTTGTTCTATACAGAGAGCTTACATTAAAGAGTGCAGAAGCACAAAATGTTTTATAATTAAGTAATTTATTTGGTTTTTATTCCAATTATTCACATTTTAATTGGAATGCCCGGAGGATATATTTATCAAAAACTGGGGTATTGTCCATATACTTAAATTCATTTACAAAATTAATTTTTATCTCTTTATTTTAATGTTTTCATATTAATTTACTTATTAATAAACATTAATATTAGATAGAGAATGTAAATTATTAATGAGCAATATGAAAATAATTTAAATGTCTGACTTAATTTATATGTTTGTTTAAAAGTTCCACTGACTAAACCACAAATAGGTACAGGAAAATGAAAAGAAAAGAAATTATAATAATAATGATTGTATTCACATATTTTAACATAAAGATATTGAAAATTACAATGAAATTCATAATTCTATTTTCTAAAATTGGGAAAACTGCAATAACAAGTTAGTTGACCAGCAAGTCATTTTTTATCAAAAATACAATAGTAGATTGCACATTTTATAAAATGCTTTGCAAAATTCTAACCAGTTAATTACTGATATTTTTTTATATTTGTACTAAAACATTGACATAAAACCATAATTTTTCTGTAATTCAGTGTACTATATAGGTATATCAAGCAAACAAAAAAATACGATTCTTATATTAATTGTAATATATAAATAGAATATATTTATAAGTGTCTACAATTACGAAGATTAAATATATATATATATATATATATTTATTACCGTAATTTATTGATGTACTAGGTAGTTATATCGTTTTTGCGACAATAATTTGTCTAAATAGGTACTTTTTTTTAATAACTATATAATATATTATATTTATATTGCAATTAGTACAATACTCATAGTTAATTGTATTACTATCCGTATATAAAATATATATGTATAAAACCGTGTAAAAAACCGTGTCGAAATCTAATCTCATAATAATGTACTATTACAATATTGTTTATTTGTTTCATATAATATTACTTGCCGTTTTTAATCCTTAAGTCAATTATGATATAATCTTATTAGAATGGTGTTAAAAAAACATTTTAAATTATCTATAAATATAGCTACAAAATATTTCATATATTATCTTTACACACTGGTTTTTAAATTCAATATAATTTAATACAAGATTTATTTAAAAATGTGTGTTTTAACTTTTTTTTGCTTATTTTACAATAATAGTAAAAAAATTTATATCAATAAATTATTATAACATTATAAAAAATAATAATTATTCAGAAAAGTGTATGGAATTTTTATCCTTTAACTCCTTAAATTACTAGCTAGATACCGTATGATATAGTATGAAGAAAATTTTTAAAATTTACAAGAACCTATAAAAGAAAGATAAACTTATGTTTTTTTTTT